TCCCGCGGTATTTCCACCGTGCTTCACTATCACAGATCTATTTCGCAAATAGTTTTTAATTAATTCAATAAAATTATCTGACAGTCCATATCCACTCCATTTCCATAACAGTACATCATGGTCAACCGTATCGAATGCCTTGCGAAAATCTGTGTAAATAGTATCAAGTTGACTTTTACGGTCCAAAGCTTCATGTGCATAATTATTAAATATCAACAAATTCGACGTTACTGATTTATTCGCTACGAAACCATGCTGTTGAGATGCTAGGAATTTTTCGACATGCTGGTAAAGTCTTGAATAGATAATTTGTTCAAATAATTTACCTGGGGCACACATTATTGATATAGGTCTATAGTTTTCAACATCCATCTTGTTACCGGACTTGAATATTGGAGTAACTATAGCACTTTTCCATGTCGATGGAAAGACGTTAAGATGAAGTATCATATTAAAAATATGAGTCAGTGGTTGCCTCAGCCAATCTCCACATGCTTTGAGAATGTAAGGCGGAATTCCGTCTGCTCCAGCTGCTTTCTTTGGTTTCAATTTTTTCAATGCAATATTATAGTCTATCTCGGTTATAAAATTGATTCCGAATATATCATTACTGAAAGCATCGTCTGACTTAGAATTCAGGTTATATGATGCTTTTACTGATGAATAAACAGATGAAAAAATTTTTGCAAATGCGTCCGCTGTTTCTCCTTCTGGAACTCGGTGTCCCTTATAACTATAATTACTCATATTCAAATTATTATTTCTTTTATTATTCACGTGGTTCCAAAACTTATTGATATCTTTCGACAGATCTTCTTCAAGTTTCTTAATGTATTTACATTCTTCAGACTTAATCAATGCTTTCACTCGTTTTCTCAAATCCTTATACCTGTAGTTATAGAATTCAGATACTAGTCTCAACCTTTTAATCCTGTCTTTCTCTTTCAATAATTCCTTTATTTCTTTCGTAAACCACACTGGAAAGCTGTGAGAACTTTCATTACAGACATATTTAGGCACACAATCATCTATTATTTCATTCCATACAATATAGAATTCATCTAAGGCTATGTCCACATCAGTATTCTCACGCAAGACTTTGTCCCAGTTTGCATCTCTTATGCTTTTAGTTAGCCTAAGGAAGTCTGCTCTCCTATAATTATACCTTGATTCACTCAAATTCATTTTATTTAGTTTGTTATTTGACATGACCTTCAAGGTAATATCTAATGCAGGATGATACACATCTTCTTTAACAAATGGCAGACAATCCCTACTCACTATACAATTATTCCAGTGGCTCTCTGAGCCAATTACTAAATCTAAGGTCCTTCCTTGAAAATTTTTAATATCATTATAGAGTTTTAATCCGTTATGATCGATGAATTCTTGAAAATTTTCGATAATGCCATCAGAGATATTGGTAACATAATTGGCACCTGTTATTTCAGGTATGTTGAAATCCCCAAAAATATATAATTTCTCAACATCTAAATGATTATGAAGTATATGGAACTGTAAAAAATCAAATGCTGACTCATAAACACCATTTGCACTTCCTGCAGGTATATAAATACCGCAAAAAGTATATTTGCAACTACTCACCTTTAACTCGATTAATACGCTCTCAAAAGAAGTACTGCACCTCGTTATGTTCATAATTTTATACTTTTTCTTAGTGGCTATCAGAACCCCGCCCCCTTTAGATTTACCCGTAAATTCAAGATTTCTATCAGACCTTATCAAATTGAAGGATTCTGTATCCACTAATTCTCCATCCTCAAACCCATCTTGTAGCCATGTTTCAACAGCCACCACAATGTCATAATCATTATTCAAACAACTCCTAAAAAAGTCATTAGATTTGGTATTCAGTCCTCTACAATTTTGATAGTACACACTCAGGGTAGTCATCGTACGTATAGCCGAATTATATCCACCATAAGCTCTCGCTCAAAATACAAAAATCCTACCTTTTTAAAATAATAATAATAATAATATGCGGATGACAGTGATTCGTTTGGCACGAATATAATAATGAGAAATACATTGTTTGTGATAAACCTTTAAGAAAGACCAATCCATTATAAGAATATTCTTCCCTAAATAAATAAACTAAATAATCATTATCTTCCCGGTATAGACTGAGCTTTATCCATAAATGATCATACAGAAAGATACTGCAATAGACGATATATACCTATGTATTAAAAATAAAAGAAAAAAAAAAAGGATTCTGTTTTTGTGACTGCGAAGTCCTAGTTGGTATCACTTGTTTCTTTTATTGCTATGACACTGTTGTCACGTTTAGCAAAAATTTTTCCATTCCTCGACCATGCTGCTTGGATCCCATATTTCTGTTTGGCAGCTCGTAGGAGTTGATAATTTGCCTTAGTCAAGTTCTCATTCACGAATATACCTGTATTTTTCAAAGCTTTACGGGCCATCAGAATTTCATTTCTTTTCAGTAATGAAACAAATTCCACAATTATCGTTCTAGGTTTTCCTCCATCCTCATTGGTTTTACCAATTCTGAACATATTGTATATTTCCCATTGGGCACACTTGACTCTTAGGGCGTCATTAAACACTGCGAGTACCTTAGCAGACAGGTTTTCATTTGGTTCTTCTTTAATACCCATCAATCTCAATGAATTAGCCTTCAGTTTTTGGTCGATACCTTCTAGCTTATTATTAATTATAACCACTTCATTTCTATTGGATTTCACCATGGATTCTAAGGATGTTAGTTGCTTGATTGCTCCGTTGAATTTCTCTTCCATAGTGTCAAATATTTTGCCAAGTTTGATGATGTGTTCTTCAAGATTCGCATTCAACTTTGGCACCAATTTATTGATTAACGACTCTATCATACTTTCCTCTGTTAGACTAGTACTCCTAGTTTTACTCATCTTGTCTTTATTCCAAGCGAATTGGCAACAATGTATCAGTGAATATGTAGAGGTTACCTCAAAGTTGATTCAAAAATCCCTTATATCACGTTCACGTTACACAATTGTATGATCTGTCCAATACCTGCTACTATAGGGTCTCCTTAGCACCAAAAACATATATTTTTCACGAAAAAATACCACTCAAAATGTCAAGAATAGCGAGAGCTCACGTGTACGATGTTTACACCAATATTGCCATATATGATTATATTTTGTTATCCGAATCTGAAGCCTCAGACAAGCAATCATTACCGAGACTTCACTGGAATTCATATTTGTGAAGTTTTGGTGGTTTTGATGAAGCAAACAGCTTTAATTCGCGGTTTTGGAACGAGTTTGCTGAAGTTTTTTGTCTCAGAATACTTTGAATAATGGCCAACAAATGCAAGACATTATAAACATACAAATGTACAGCTTCCCAACAGATGCAAAATTATAGGAAGTGTGGCAGAACATTACAAAAATTGGGAAGCCCATTCACAAATATATATGCCTGTCTGTAGCAGACACTTCTTAGAAACAGATTATGAAGGTGATTTCTTTCAAGTTTCAAGGGAATTCAAATACAATTGCAGAAGAAGGTACATTTTCTGTGACGCAGATTAAATACCTTCACAGAATTCACAGATTACAATGCATCATATGTAAAACCTGTGATCAATGGATATGAATGGGAAAGAGGAAGAGGTCTCTTCAATACAAAACTTGAATATGTCTCTAATCATTCTTCAGCTTATATCAGCCAAATCATCCTCAGTAAGAGGATCCAATGAATCTGATAATGACAAAGATGCTGGAAGGATAGAACTCGCTTACCAGAGTGCTGATGCAACTTCCACCAGGACTGATCATTCTTGTGAAAGTGCCTATGATGTTTCCATAGGAAAGACAACTGCAATTTCAGTAGCCAATCTAATGCATTTTTTTTTTCACTTTTTCTGTGATAATAAAAAATTCAATGAGTACCTACTCAATTTTGCTTTATTTCAAGATATAAACCAGAATATAATTCTATACAAGGAATAAGAATAAAATGATTATGAAATTTCTCTATTATTCTTCATTTCAAGACCTTGCTCAAGTGTGATTTTGACAGAAATGGAATCTTTTCAAATGTTCTTCCTGCTTCATTGTAGAAATTACATGAGATTTACAATTTACCAATAATTCAGAATTATTCTTTTTCATCAGCAGCATGATTAACCTTGTAGGAAATGCAACAGTTTCTTCAATCTCTGTCTTCCTGTAATTATAAAAGCTAGTATAGTGTTGTAGGCTTTACTTCGTACATTGCATCTATGCCTGACTTTTCACCACTTGCTTGGGTGTGAGCTTCACAACTGAATTCTTCTAGTTCTTTATGCCTACCTAAAAATGTGGTTGAAATTTCAGTAAGCAAAAGGATCAATCAAGCATAGACAAACCAAAGTTGCTCTATGAGTCTATGGGCTTAGAGTTTCAAAGCAGAGCAGAAGTTTGTACAACCACCAGCCTAAAGATCTCAAGTTTCTGTATACTTTTCACTTCAACAAAATAACATTTATTCTTGCTTTGTATACCTGTTCGTCTTGCACCGATTTTGCAAAAGCACTCAAATCGCTGTAATTTCGAAATAAGAATGACTGAATTATCATAGAATCGAATGTGGAATGTGGCTCTCTCTCATTGTTTTCCCCATTCCACTGACAGCTTTGACATCAATATCAATGCTTTTACGTACTTTTCCTGCTGTCGGAAAATTTTTCGCGGAGGAATATTATTTTCAGAGGCATCGGTAAGAAACTTCAACAACATAATAATTTATAAATAAAATTTAAATGAACTTCCTCCTCCATTTTGACAAATCCCGCGCATGCGCAAATAGGTAGTTTCCTCAAAACTGGCTTCACTTTTGACCATGGAAACATTGGATGTTATCCGTATATGTTTAGTAGGTATATGAGAAGTGCACGTACCTCATCTGTAGTGTGTAATTTTGTTTTCGCGCATCTGTATGTATTGGCATTCTAGGTGATTGTATAATTCTGTGCCCCGTATCGTCAACAGGTGAATAACGCTGGTCAGAACGGCACCGCTGCCCCTCAGGCGGCCCCGACCGCTGCCCCGCCGAATGCGGGGGCCGCCCCACCCGCGCCGCCGCCGCCCTCAGCCGCCCCTCAGGGTGCGCCCCCCGGCGCCGCCTTCAACTTCAACAATCCCAACGTCGAGTTCTTCATGGAGGTCACGCCCGAAGGTATTACAATTGATTCTTTGGAGACTACGCTTGTCGGTTCGAATCAGGCGAACGATTGTAAGTGTATCGCGACTCGTCCTGCTTGCTAACTTTTGTATTGCACGCTTATTTCATTTCTCTAAGGGTGTTTTATGGTCTGTCAAATGATGAAAGGACCCCGCACATTTAGTACGGAAAATGGCTTTCGGCTAATTTTTCTGAAAATTTGATATGATTCAGATATTAGCGTCCTTATTACACAGTCTAATTTGCAGATCGATCCTATGACCAGTTTTCGAGCTTCAGGGTGTCAATCATTTGATTATATATGGCAAACCGGACATTGGATCAGAGGAAATCATATGAATCCTCATGTTGATGATCAAGATCCATAGTGTGTCAAGAAATTGGCCGATTCTAGCCGTTTGTTCTCAAGTTTCCAGTGATTGAGTGAAAATCGAAATTCTGATATTTTCAATATTTGTCTATTCCCATGAATACTACCTTGTCATGATGTAATGCAATTCCCTGTATGTGATATTATTATCTATTCGAGTAGAGGGATCCATAAGGTAGAAATTAGACGTGGAGCATTTATTTCTACTGAAGATATATCACGATTTGGAGCACATAATTCAAATCGATGCAAAATATTCTAAACAGCCAAAATCAAATGATTGATACCCTGTAGCTCGAAAACTGGTCATAAGATCGATCTGTAAATTAGTACACAGTCTAATAAGGACGCTAATATCTGAGATATATCAAATTTTCAGAAAAATTAGCTGAAAGCCATTTTCCGTACTAAATGTGCGGGGTCCTTTGTATTTCCTGTAATAAATATTTTCCTATGACCACCTATGAAAGCAGCATATAGCACACTCTGTTGTGCAAAAAGTATCTCATATGACCATAGCAATGCGAAAGTGAAAACGAACAGTGTGGCAACATTCCCGCATGCTTATGTGATCTTTGGTTGGTCTATATTATGTAAGGATGATTACTGAATTATCATATTGTCACGAGTAGAACATACGGTATATCAGTAATTTCGAACCATGAGGGTTTTATAAACATAAAGTAAATCAAATCATCCGTTGACATTGAATTATAAAAACTGACCAAGGAACTCTCATGAGAAACGTGCATATCTAATAAAATGATGTATATAAATATGGAATGTGAGGGTTCCGAAGTTAGTCTGGTCTGGGGCTACTCTTGACTTGACAAGAGCTCGTCGTAATGGTTATTATAATGTAAGTTGTTATTCGGTCTTTATATTCATTGTTGTTTATTCATATCTATCATCACTACCCATAATGTTTCATGCTGCAATAAATATTGTTATGTTTGAATATATTCTCATACTTTCAATCACCCCTAAACTATAAGTGCCTATTCGAATATTACCTCTCGCAAAATATTAAGCCAAGCATTACCCCTTATAAATCGATATGGATGGAAACAACCATTATATCGCGACAATATGTTGATAAGTACTTTCTATCATTGTAGATAGATAGATAGATAGATTTTTTAGTCCTTTGTGCTACATTATGTAGATGGGACAGGTCATATTTGTCAGGTATAATATATATGTATATAAGATTAAAGAAAATTTCAAGTAAAAAATATCACGTGACACACATTGTAAAACAAACAAATACATATTAAAAAAAGTAAGAATAGAATAGATAAGTAAACAACATGCTAAAAATGTTAAAGTGACAGTGATCTGACATTACCAACTTCAAGTATAAATTCATCTACTGTGTAGAAGCATTTTTCTGATAGAAAAACTTTCAACTGTTTTTTAAAAACTAGGGGGGGAAGTGTCTTTATATCGCATGGCATTATATTGAAAAGACGGATACCAGCAAACACAGGAGACTTTCTATACTTTGCGTGATGGTGTTTTTGGGTGAGGATCATATGGTTATTCCTAGTATGATAATCATGGACTTCCGATCTCGACTCTAGTTGCTTTCTGTTTCCATGGATATACGTCAATGTTTTTAGAATGAACAAGCAAGCAACAGTTAATATTTTATTTAGACGAAAAATCTCTTTACATGACGTTCTGTAGTCTAGATTGAAAATTAGCCTCAGTAATGCTTTCTGTTTTATGAAAATTCTGTCCACTTCAGTTGCTAAACCCCAGACAGCAATGTTGTTGTAAATAATAGACTGAAACTTGGCGAAATAAATTGTTATCAGTGCTTTGGTATCTAATTTATTCTTAAGGGATTTGATGAGGTAATACGATTGATTCAATTTCTTGGATGTGAATTCTATATGTATATATAGGGTGTTTCGTAATATGTGGGACGCACAATGAGAAGTCATAGGGCGTCTCAAGAAATCAAAAAAGTTCCCATAAACAAAAGTCGTAGAAGGCTTAGTTTGCGAGATACAAAGTGTAAAAGTTGAAAATGAAAAATAATTTTCATTGAATTTCTAGATAATCGCTAAACAAAAATTCTTGATATTCTCGTGCATAACTCGGTACCTGAGAGTGATTGAATGGGTGGTATTATTTAGTCAATCTGACTTCCAGTTGCATCGTTAAGGGCTATTGATGTGTTATTTTTCAGAAAAAACATTGGTGGCTATGAAACTTTTCGAAATTTTATTCCCATGAAAAAGGATGCAATTTTGTAGAAAAAAGCACCAAGTGTTGAAACTCCTGAAGATACACTATTTTCGAGCAAAACCGAATATCCAAATTCATCTCAGAAATTTGATGTAGATGTCCGAGGATGTCGGATAGTCCATTCATCGTCATCTTTATTATTCCCAAGAAACGATTGACGTATATGTTTATAACAGGGAATATTGAAAAATAAACCATAATTTATTACATTACATTTGAAATGTAGTAGGTATAAATATTTTTTAAGTTCTTGAAATTTTTGGTACCTATATTTTCTTCAAGTCTTGTTGGTAATTCATTGTAAAGTAATAATTCAAAACATCTGTTCAGATTACTCTATAATCATCATAGATATAATTCTGTAATTGTGGGACTATGCCAGTCACATAACATACTGAATTTTGCCACCACGATAAGCCATACAGGGTGGACATGAAAAAAATATATAAATATTTTCAACTTCAACACCCTGTATCTCACAAACGAAGCCATCTACGAGCTTTGTTTATAGGAACTTCTTTATTTTCTCGAGACGCCCTATCATCTCGAAGTGCCCACATATTACCATTCACCCAGTATATATACATTCATTTTCGTTCAAATTTTGCCCCATGAGAAATAATAATTGTTTAGGTCTCGGTATTTTCATTTTCTCATTTATGTCCACGCTTTACAGAATGGCGACCGATAAAGTCCAAGTCGTTTTCATTTTCAAATTAAAGCAATTTTTAATTTTTGGGGCGGCAAACTATGACGTACATTCTGAATCTAGTCTAAAAATAGCTGATGGTGAAGAATATAGCTAGCGAATAGCTAACGAATAAAAAATAGAAGAAGAAGTAAAACTGGTAAACAAAAACATACATAACCACAAATGCACTCGGAGCAGGAATGCAGAGGGTAGTTGGCTTATATCTCGAATAGAGCTCGATCCTAAACGAATGTATCATTGAATCAATGAATCACTATCGGTTCTGTCCAAAAAAGGGCAATTCGTCTCGTGGGTGATGCCTCACTCACAAACTCACTCACTTCTCTGGAACACCGTAGAAAAGTTGGCGATCTGGTTCTATTTTATAGATATTTTCATGGACGATGCTCTTTTGAAATATCAACAATTGTACCTCCCTTGGCAGTCCCCGCGAGATTAACCCGTCGAGTTGAGGCTTCGCACCCCTTCGTGGTCACTTTGGAGACCTGCAGAACATCTCTTTCCAAAGACTCGTTCATCCAACGAACAGCGATGCTCTGGAACACATTGCCAAGGGGGGTGTTCCCCGAGGCATACAACCACAAGAAATTTAAGAAGAACACCAATTCCTACCTTATTTCATTTGGTTCTCACGATGTTCTCTGAACATTACAGGATATCCCTTTTCGTGGGAACCAGAACACAAAAAAAATCGGTTACATTCAATGATACTATTCTTCCGAATTTACCGTCATCGGTCAGAACAGAATGAAGTCGACACCCATGGCTCCTTCCTCTTGTTGTGCTTGTCTGTAATTTGAGTGGTGTGGACGGACTCGAAGTATTAGGCGCTGTTGCAAGATATAATCTGCAACTTTCCTAGAAAATAGATCCGTTTTATTCAAGGAACGAATTCATTAGCAAAAAAAATACTAAAAAGCTATGAATAACATGAATAACATTGTAATATAACGATAGTGAACAATTATAGATACTATCGCAAAAAATCATAATTTATCTTTATTAGTAATCAACTTCATTCAGCCAATGAGAGATTTATAGGAATCATTCATAATACTTGACAAAGTAGGATTGAAGAACCCATTATATCCCATTTGTTGGATAGTTTATTTTACATCCTGTATATCAGTTTACCCTGTATACAGAATATGTTGTTAACGAGGAGTTGAATCAATAATTCAGTTGTTAATTTTCCATTAATATAATAATCGTTAAAAATATAGTCTTTATATTAGATATTATAAGCTACAGTTTTATAAGCCAACCTTTAAGCCAATATCAGTCATTATATTTGGTCCATTTTACATCCTGTATATCAGTTTACCCTGTATACAGAATATGTTGTTAACGAGGAGTTGAATCAATAATTCAGTTGTTAATTTTCGATTTATAATAATCGTTAAAAATATAGTCCTTATATTAGATATTATAAGCTACAGTTTTATAAGCCAACTTTTAAGCCAATATCAGTCATTATACCATTGCTGTTATGATATAGTTATTATGCATTCAAAGAACAATTTCCGGCAATCTATTTTGACTCTGTGTGAATGTGGATTTTCAGAAAGTACGTCATAGAAATGGTGGAGGAGCCAAATTCTTCTTTTATTTATTTTTTTCTGAAGTGAAATTTGATCTTACGATTTTTTACAAACTTCACAGTGGGATGAAAACCTCAATATAGGAAACTTCCCCACTGGCGATTCTGGGTCTTTTGACATGTAAACATTTAAGATCGAGAAAAGGCGGAAACACCTGAAAAAAAAACAACTTTATGATAATAATAATAATAACATTTATTGATCGTAAGAAACATACAATGTTTATAGAGAACAAAATATATCAAATATGCAATACAATGAAAGATAACCAGTTAAATCAGAATTAATTGATACAAGGAGGGAGTTGAATTGATCAAATATATTTCTTCAGTTCACACTTAAATTTTGTGACAATCCTAATACAGTTTATTCTGTTGGGTAGACTATAAATATTTATTCCACAAAAATACAATGATTTTTTCCCGAATTGGGTTTTTATTTTGACAGTTTTCAAATGTTCACTTTGTCTGGTGTGATGCTCATGGGTATCAGAATTGAGCAATTGAATATGCGATGACCAAGATAGAGTCTGGTCTATAGTTAAACCTAAGAGTTTGGAGTTTTTTGTAGGATTTATACTAAAATTCCAAAATGTTTACGGATCTTATTGGATATCAGGTATAACTCTTTTCGAGATGAACATAAAAGAAGATTTATCGAAATTGAGTGTCAATGTATGATCTTGTAACCATAATGTAATTGAAGCGAGATCTTTTTCCATTTGGATTTTTATTTCTTGTAAATTTTTTCCGTAATAAATGAGAGTTGTGTCATCGGCAAATAATTTTAAGTTCCCTTGTAATTTAAAACTTGAGATAGAATTTATATAAATCAAAAATAAAATAGGTCCGAGAATTGATCCCTAGGGCACACCACAAGATATGTTTCTTATTGAAGAAAATGAGCACACAAAATGCTTTCTATCAACTAGATAATTTTCAAACCAAGAGTAAACTTTACCTCTTATTATCATTCGAGTTAATTTCATTAATAGAATTTCAAAATTAACTGTATCAAATGCCTTTCGCAAATCCAGTGATAAGAGTCCACATCTGTAGTCTGAATCTAATTTCAGCTGAATGTCAGTATTAACATCCAGTGTTGCCCATTCAGTGTCACAGGATTTCCGAAAGCCATATTGAACATTCCTACCTATCTACCTACCTATCTTCAAAACGTCGGTACCTTTCAGTGTTGAGAGGCGCTCTGAACGGGCCGCCGCCCGAGTTCCTGCAATCCCTGATGCAGATGGCCGGCCAGCTGATCAACCGCAACATGGCCGCCCAACCGGCGAACGGCGCCGCCCCCGCCAGCTCCGCCGAAACTGCCGGAGGGGCGGCGCAGTCGCAGAACGCGGCATCGGCAGCAGGCCCGCCCGGGCAGACCTCCACGGCGCGGGGCAACACGCAGACGCACCCCACCACGGCGACCCACACCAGGGTCACGCCACGCCCTCACGTCCATCTCGCTCAGCAGGCCATGCAAGGTAATCGCTATTCGCTAGTTCGAGGATTCAATACGACAAGGAACGGTCCATAGTTGGAATCTCAGACCAATCAGAACTAGGGTCCCTTGATGCAAACTGACGTATTTGTCATCTAACAGGGTACGGACAGATCATAACTCCTTTCTCTTTTAATCATCTAGTGACTTTGGTTTTGTGTATTGGCGTCCCTGACATGATATTGCTGTCACGTCACATTCATAGGCGTTAAAAGAGACCTTACAAAATTTTAATTTCAAACTTGATCTTAATATGACATAATTCAATTTTGTTTTGGAAGGATGGTAAAATGTGCTGCGTTAGGCTGTATCAATCAGTTGGATGGCAAATTTGAATTTGTCAGCTTACCATCAAATGCAAATGAACTTAGAACATGGAAAGTGAAGTGACCGAATGGGGAAAATTGGTAAATACAAGCAAAATATTCAAGGTAAAACTAATACGAAATCACATAATATACTTTCTCATTGTGCCTATAATTATCAACTCCACAAGTTTTTGAATGCATTTTAGTAGAAACAGCTTTGATTAAACCGGAGGATTGAATTGCACAACCAAAATACAGATAGTGCCTAAAGTTCGTGCATGTTCAGTAATCATTTTAGGTGCACTTAGAATGGTTGAAAGACAAACAGCATACAGGGTAGGTCAAAAAATATGAAAATTGCTCAAGAGTTAAGTACCCTTATTCCAGAAAATTCAGCAAAATGTTATAGAGAAAAGTTGTTAACAATTGAAAGGTATACCTAAATACGAAAACATGGCCTCCTAAGACTAATTTTAGTTTTTCAATTTTTCTCGTTAATAACTTCCCAATTTTGAACACGAGCTGCTCACAATGATTTTCCTGTTTCATTTTCTGTAACTTCAAAACAATTATGTCCCTTCTTTGCCACAATGGTGCAAGGACCACGAAATAAAAGGAAGAATTTTTTTATCTCTTCATTCTCAGCATTGGATGAAGGATGCTGTCTAACCAATACCTGATCTCTTATCTCAAAATTAGTTTCCAAAATTCGCCCTTTCTCGTGCCTAACTTTTCTTTTCTCAGCTTTACTAAGCAGCCTTGTATGAGCAAGTTCGATTCTACCATTCCCTTCAACTTGTGGAGTCGGATCAGGACTTGGCATATTATTCAAAAATGGGTGAAGTTCACACTCACCAAAATGCAACACTACTGGTTCGTACCCCATACTATCATGATGAACGTGGTTCAACCAACCTTCAACGTCTCCTATAACATTGGCCCACTTTGTATGTTGTGAATAACAGCAGGTTCTCAGCAATCGACCGATTTCACGGTTTACCCTTTCAGTCATGTTCCCCTGAGGGAAATAGACGGAAGTATGACCACAACGTATCCCCATTTCGGCTAACCCTTCTACCCAAACTCGACCAGTGAATTGCGTACCATTGTCGGATAGCACTACCTTGGGTGTCATCCCAACAAACTCAACGTATTTCTTCAAACACTTCAATGCCGATTTCGCAGTCGCGTCTTAAAGGAAATAGTTTTACTAACTTTGAAAACGCATTAACAAAAACAAGTAAATAGCTAACCCCAGCACGTGCCTTCGGTAATGGCCCCATAATATCTTCATTTATATCAGAGGGCACCAAACTCCCCATTGGCCCTACTAAATGTTTCGATATTTTTGCCCTCTGGCAGATACCACAAGAAGACGCAAACTTCCTGATTCGTTTCCGCATTCGCGGAAAATAGTAATATTTGCTTAAGCTCAAATAAACTTCATCTGAACCGAAATGTCCGTTCTTGCAATGCTCCTGTTCAACTAATGAATATACCTCGTTATCTGGTAGTACGACTTAAGACCCTGGATTCTGATGTGATCCCTTCCTAAATAAAATACCTTGATATAAAGAAAACCATTCACCAATTCGTGGTGAGCCCGAATCATTCGTCAAACTATTTCGAATATTCACACAATACTCATCATTTTTCTGAAATTCTTCAATATTTTTGAACTTTTTCATCAAACTTTCGAACAACTCTGATCTTACTATCCTACAAACTCCCACCTTTTCGGCTAATTCTACCAATTCATGATCGCATTCCCCCACGTAACGAGACAGACAATCCGCCAATCTATTATCGGTCCCTTTCAAATATTCAAATTTTATATCGTACTCTTGGAGATATAGTGCCCATCGAATTGACCGTGAATTCAAAAGAGTGCAAGCTTTCAGAAAGGTTATGGCTTTGTGATCTGTATAGACCGTCAGCTCCCTACCTAATACGAAAACTCTCCATTTCCGCAGCGCACTTACTACCGATAACATTTCTTTTTCCGTCACTGTCTATCGTAACAGGCTCATGTAATGTACGGCTCGAAAATGCAATCACATCTCGATCGCCCTCCATACTTCGCTGATATAGGCAAGTGCCTATTGTATACGATGATGCATCGGTCTCAATATGAAATTCATGTTCCATATTTGGATGTCTTAACAGCGACACTTCCAAAAAACATTTTTTTGATTCCTCAAAATTCTGAGTTTTGGCCTCTCCCCAACTCCACGGTACATTCTTTTTCAATAAGCCTGAAAGAGGCAAGGTTTTCTCCGCCAAATCGGCGATCATAATTGATCAAACCTAAAAAGGAACGTAAATGTTTCACGCTACGCGGTATAGGGAAACTTTGAATAGCCGCTATTCTCTCTCCATCCATTTTTACTCCTGATGAACAAATTACATGTCCTAAAAACTTGACAGACTCTCTGGCAAACGCACATTTCTTCAATTTCAAAGTAGCCCCCGCATTTTTCCATTTTTTCAAATGCTCCAACTGAGCCTCTGCATTCGGAGAAAATATTAATATATCGTCGATATAAGGAATGGTGAAACTAACTACCTCAGGACCTAGTACTAAGATGAGAGCCCTAATAAAACTCCCTACTGACGTAGACAAGCCAAACGGCAAAACATTAAAAACATACGTATGACCTTCAAACGAGAATCCCGTATACCTACGATCTTTTTCCTGTACTGACACCTGCCAATACGATGCCGTTAGATCAATAGTACTCAAGTACTGCCCCGGTTTGAAATTATATACTAATTCACTTGGGTTGGGCGGTATGGTGTGGTCTCGTACCATTCTTTTATTTAAATGAGTCGCATCTAAACACATACGAATCGATCCATTTGATTTTTTAACGGTTACCAACGGACTAACATATTCGGTTTGGGATATCTTGATCACCCCCCACTCCTCCATTTCCTTGATTTGCCTTATTGCCTCTTCTTTATGCGCATGCGCGATCGGATATTGTTTTTTATAAAACGGGCTATAATCATATAGCTTGATTTCGTGTTCATACACGCTAATTCGACCTGGTTGCTTAGAAATAATATCTGAATAGGATAGCAACAATTCACCTAACTGATTTTTCTGAAATTCGTCAAACGTCTGACATTGTTCAACTACTAACCGGATATTACATTCTTTTTCCTCAAAATCCGGCTCTGCCTTGTTTGAGTGTAATAACTCTTCATCATAAATTTCTGAAATCGACAGATTTCTGACATTTTCCTGTACCGTTTCAAAATTCGTGCTGTACTCACGTCCACTATTGTATTTTCTTAAGACCCGATTCTTAAAATCAATCACAACCTGGATCCAAAAATAATATTCCTCGTCAAATTAGGAATCACAATGAAAGGATATTGAAAACTCAAGTCGTTAACTTTTATATTCAAATTAACCTGTTCGTGCACCTGAATCGATTTTTGTCCCCATGCACCCACTAACGACGTACGTGTAGGTAAACGCGACACCTCATGATTGTTCAACAAAATTTGACTCAAAAATTTCCCAGAAATTCCCGTAATCTGGGATCCAGAATCTACTAACACACACGTAGATATTCCCTCCACTAAAATCTCCACAGTATGAAGTACAGGTAAAGTATTCATTTCACTCTGTTCAGATTCCTCTAATAATTCTTCAGGATCTCGAATATAATTCATCTGTCCAGTACCTGATCCACTCTGACCTCTATTTTGCTCCCAACGATCATCAGTTCTACTCTCAATATTATTTTTCCGCACGCTTTCTGTTTGACGACGCCAATTATTATTACCACTCGCATTATTCCCGGAATTTGACGGCATCACGGTCGCGCGAGAGTTATTGTTATTTTCACCGCGACCTTCTTGTCTTTGCTGTTGGTTTCTGGTCTGAACATGTCGACCATAACCAGTGGCGGCACCAGATTGCGCGGCAACACTTCTCCCCTCTTCATACGTACTATCTATTTTCCGTAGAAATTGCTCTACTTCATCCAAACTAGTAAGTCCCGAATTCCTAATTCCCCTTTGTATTTCCGACGGAAAATGATGAATCAGTAAATCCATCAACTCTCTATCACTCTATGGTTGTGATAAAACGAGTTCCACTGTTTACATCACGATATGACCCATATTTTATTCGAGATAAAGGTTCTCGTTCCTGTTCTACGCTCCAGTAGCGATCGAAAAACATCGAATGACTGAAAATCTTCAATCTCTGCCCAGTCCAGCGCCGACCCTTTTAAACAGTATACTGCAAAAAATACTCGCTTATTTCGGAGAATACCCGCTTCATCTAACAGATTATTTAATTTCCTTATAAATAATACTGGGTGGGTAAATTATTACCCCCCACATCTTTCCACACTGACACATAAGTTTTCGGTGTAATAACTTCAGTACTAATTACTCTCTCTGTTTCAACTTTTTGTTCTATTTTTTCTTCACCTATTTTCAATTTCTTCTCAATTTCTGCAGTTCATTGAGAAAACCCACAAGCTATATTAGTATTGAAATTTTCGAAAGCTGTTTCTAAAACATCTCCTACAACCCGTGTCAATTTCGAATTACCATCTTTCAAGAATCCCGCCATATTTTCATCCAAAGAACTGGAATTATCTGTTTGTATATTCAACCCTTCTGCAGATTTATTTGCCTCCGCACCCGGCTTTTCGGTCTCCTTCCTTTCATCCGTCGGTCCTGCCCATATTTTTGTTTTTAAGAAAACCGAATAACAATGTCAATTCCAGTGAATTCTCAAAATCTTGAAATTTTAAATCTCCAATATCAAATTGTGCGTATCCACCAAATACTAACCTAAACTTATCTTATAATAATACTGTGAAATTATGGGCTTGGTACAATTTGTAATTTTTTCTTATATTCACCCTAAACACTTTCATAAGTTAATCATAACAAAATCAGTTGAACATACCTTTGTTCAAATTCAAGCATATTTGTGCAATTAACTTGGATTTTATTTTTTTAGGGAATCACAAACTTTATGTTTGTTGCAACGATATTCAGCTTAACTTTGAAATTTCGCAAACCATATTTGTGAGGAGACGAGGATCTGTCCGTACCCTGTTAAGATGACAAATACGACAAATACATCAAGGGACCCTAGGTGTGAAGACATTTGTTGCAGTCGTTCTGAGCTATTCGCGTTGAATTTTTTGAGCTTACTTATAGCTACAATTATATACTTACACCTATTTTTATTCTCTCAGTATCTTTTGATTTTTTTTATTGTTTTACGTATTGAACATTTCAACCCTATCGGTACACACAGCAGCGCCACCTATCGCGTCCAATTGTATTTTTAAATCATCCAGGAAATCATCAATATACCCATATAAAATTTCACCCAGTCGGTTCTGCCGTTTAGAATTTATGTGAAAAAGAAGTACGGAAGGATATATTCAACAACTATTTTTAATTTTATAACTAATTAGGGTGTCAAATATTATAATTGATTTTCATGTGCATTTACATTGACTGCAAAGTGGAAATCGTATGTAAGGAACGCTTTGTCAATAAGAATTAGCTTCCTTCAGACAATAAAATATATTTGTGAAAAATTCACAAACGATAAGATTTCCACAAAATGTTTGTGTTATTTTGTGGAAATCTTATCGTTTGTGAAGTTTTTACATTGGCCATGGATTTCCATCAAGTAACGGCCGAGTCAATTAAAAAAATAAAGTATATTCAAATTTGATTCGATTAATTCTTACTAATGGTAAAAGAATTTTTCAAATCGGTCCAGTAGTATCCGGGCTTATTCAATGCAAACAAACAAACAAACAAATCTTTCCTCTTTATAATATTACAGGGTTTCTATAAATGATCGTAACATCGTAGTAGCCGTTGAAATATTTTCTCCATTTGCCGTCTTTCATTTTTGGAGATTCACACATTCGAATTTAATTTCTGACATCAATCATTATACTGTCATAGCTGATAAACTCACAATTTTCAGTTTTTCGTTAAAATTTTCAAACGATTCTGTTTTCTACTTCGTGATTGTCGTGTTGAAAAGAAGGATGGCTTATTCCTCGGAGCAGAATACATTTATTGTAATGTCTTATTGTCGAAATGGCACATTCATCAATGGTGGTTGGAGTTACTCGGTAGTAGCCTGCAAGGATGAGTACCTAGCGAAATATCCTAATGTACAGATTCAAGAGTCTTGTTTGAAAGCCCACATCAGAACAGTGATCAACAGATTCATCCAAACTGGAAACGTTAATGAAAAGAAATCAACAGGAAGGCCCCAAATATCGGATGAAGTTGTCAAAAATCTAAGGGCGCGTGTTGAGCAAAATCCCCAAACGTCATTGAATAGATTATCTTTACAATCTGGTATGCCACTAAGTACATGCCATAAAGTGCTCAAGAAAATATTGCATATGCACCCTTACGAGACCAGTGTACTACAGCAACTTCTGCCAATAGATATCCCACGTCGTCTGGAGTACTGCCAATGGTTCCAAAATAATCTCAACGATGACCAGCTATTGGACCTAACATTTTTCAGCGATGAGGCTTGGTTTCATTTGTCGGGATACGTGAACTCACAAAATTTTAAGTTTTGAACATCTGAGAATCCCCACAATTCCATTGAGACTCCACTACATTCTCAAAAAATTGGGGTGTGGTTAGCAGTTTCACGTAGGCGAATATATGGACCGATTTTCATCGATGGCACTATCAATGGTGAAAGGTACAGACAGGTGATGTTAGAACCATTCATCAATCAACTTGATGATGAAGAAACCCGAGTTGGCTATTTTCAGCAAATTTAGAATATTTTCAAGAATTTTATGACAGCCGTGTGATAAGTCGAGGAGTTAATCCTTCTTTTCCAACACGTTCTCCAGATTTTTGGATTTCTACCTTTTTGGATATTTGAATAACGAAGTATTCAAGAGAGACAGTAGTAACCTTGAAGAGCTGCAAGCCTCAATAACACATTGCTGCCAAATTATTGGCCCGGAAATGCTGAGGAACATTTTCGACAACAAACGGCGAAGAGTTTTGAAATGCTTGGAGAACATTTTGAACATTTGATGTAGGTTAATGAAATAAACCGTTATTTATTACTTCTTTAATAAATATTTCTGATTTGTTCCATTATTTTTCAAACTCCAATATTGGACTCTCCTTTCTTTGAGATACATTTCCATAGTGTATGCACTTCCTCTCTTTTTGGTCGTTAAATGTTGTTAACAGTATTAGTAGAAAGCGGCAAATGAAAAAAAAAATGTCAACAGCCACTACGATGTTACGATCATTTATAGAGACCCTGTATCATGGATAACTATTTATTCCTAGGTGGTTTTGACCCGTTCCTACCTTGCAACTCGCACCACATCTCGAGACGCAGAACCGCCCATCACTTCCACCCCGCTAACGCTACCGCCGCCGCCACCGCCGCCCCCGCCAATTCCGCTCCCGGCGAGAGCCAACCGGGGGCGGCGGCTGCGACCGCGCCAGACACCGCCGCCATCTTCAACTCGCTCAGTTTCATCAGCAGCGTCCTGCGGGCGGACGGTGCAGGAAGGGGCGGCGAATCGAGGGGGCAGTCGGCCGCGGGCGGATCGCAGGAGGCCGCTCCGAGCGGCGGGGACGGAGCGGGAGCGGCGCCGGATTTGCCGCCGTTCGCCTCTCTGTTCGCCGGCCTGCAGGGGGTTGGGGTAAGTCGTAGCACAGATTAACAAACCTTACAGATGAGACACTCCGCCCCTTTTGTTTGATGTACCGACACATGTGTTTCGTGACCTCGTCCCTTTAAACTTTGCGCGTCACGGTTGCCGGTTCTCAAAATGTTAGGTTGAAGTCACTGAACTATTCGTGGTGCAACGTTGTCATATCAACGATTATCTTGCTATCAGGGATTAATTTTATTTGAAATTCATGAAGCTTATTTAGGCAGATTTAATATTACCTGTTATAGATCTACACAAAATAGTTGATATAAGGAACTGAAAAGTTCTTACTTCAGAATGAAACTGTTGTGGGGAATGAATTTTGAACTAATATAATATGCAGATAGTGCCTTATAATTAGTTTATAAATATTTCTCTACAATATGAATCAATTCATTGGAAATATTCAACATCATATATATTTGAATCTCAAGTTTATTTTACAAAATTAGTGAAATAATACAATATGTAAGAAATATTTGAGAGGAATTAATTGACACATTGGAGACTTGACAGGTGTGAGCTTCATTCATTCATTTTTACTGGTATAAAATAAAAGTCAAATAACAGATAGACTATCTGAATTTTTTTTATTGTAAATACAATAAATTTCACCACCGTTTTCATGCATACAAAATTAAATAAGTGAAAAACATCACAATTTTGTAATTAGGATGTTCATAAAAATAAATCCAGGTCAATGCATATTAATACATTTTATACAACATTAGAAGAGTCAAGTGTGGAAAGGGCTCATTCATGGGCATCCAACTTTCGCATATTTTTTTTTCTTGATGAAAAAACTTCAATATAGGGGTGGTCCTTTTCGATGGATAACCCTGTACAGTGTACATACATTAGCCATTTTAATTTTACAGCAAAACTGTCAAATACATACAGGGACTCTAGTATATTATACACCTGAGGTGAAAAGTGAGCTATTATATAGACGTGTAGGTACCTATATTCAGCATTGTCACTAAAATTTTGATATATCAAGTATAGTCATACCCTATAGGAGTTCAGTTGTCGAACAAACTAAAAGGAAATTCGACTTGGCTGTCAGAAAATAAACACTGTATTAAAATTCCAAGTGAAATAGTGAATATCTACAAAATCGAGTGAGAATTCATTGTCACTAAAATGTTGATATATCAAGTATAGTCATAACCTATAGGAGTTCAGCTGTCAAACAAACTAAAAGGAAATTCGACTTGTCTGTCACAAAATAAACGCTGTATTTGTGGGGGAATCCACTATTCTTTGGGAAAACGGAGGAACTGTATATTTTTATTGGATGGTGTGCTAGTGGAACGCTAATACGTCGATTTTTTTACTTTATTCCCTTATGAAATTGATATGAGAATAGCATGACATATTTTTATATATCTCTGACAATTCAAGAATCAACAACTACAACAATAGATGGTTTTAAGTACTGAGAGAGATTGATTAGTTTTTGATATAATTTAGACATTATACAAGGCATTTCCAACATACTCCCCCCATTGAGGTTGTTAGGAACATGATGTTCAGATGTTAGGAATCGGAACGATGTTTATTGGAACGACCCATCTCTAATTCGAATAAAGAGAGCATTGATTAACACACAAAATGGCGTGTCATTTAGATAACCTATTATCCTCAATAATTAGAGAATAACTAGTATTTACATGGCGCAGTCGGTACCAAATTACGTGAGAAATTAAAATTCAAAAGTGGACAAATCAATCAAATTGAAATTACAATCCGAACTAATTCCGAAGTAGCGATGGGGGACAGTAGAGGCGTTGGCTCCATGTGCATGATGGGCAACGTAGCTCAAAACTGGCAAACATGGCGTGCTCGTTTCGAAAATTATCTGGTGGCCAGCGAAGTAATCAAGAAGGACGAAGCTACCCAATGCGCTCAGCTGCTACACTACATAGGGGAGGAAGGGTTTAAAATTTATCAAACCTTCACGATCCCAGCTGAGGACAAAAATAAGCTGAATAAATTACTAACAAAATTCGAAGAGCATTTCCTACCGAAGGAAAACATAAATTACCAAAGGTATGAGTTCTTCTCGTACAAACAAGAAGCTGGACAGTCAATAGAGCAGTTTATCACGGAGACCAAAAAACGAGGCATGAAATGCAACCTAGGGGACCTCCAGGATGATTTGATCAAGTCTATGATCATTTGCGGAGTATCCAGCTCAGCAATTCGAGAAAAACTCCTACAGGATGATCCACAAACATTGGAAAAAACTGTGGAAATTTGTTATGTCATGGAAAAATCCAGGAAGGAATGTCAGGCAATGGACAATGCAACAGGTTTGGTAGACATGGTAAAAAAGAAGCAACAGAATGGGTTTAACTCTCAATACAGGTCAGTCATCAGAACTATTAACAACTGTACCAGATGTGGCAAAAGCCATCAAATCAACAAATGTCCTGCATTCGGGAAGAAATGTAATTTTTGCCAAATTGAAAATCATTTTTCAACTGTTTGCTCTAAAAGACTTAAAAACAGAATTTACAATATTGAGTCAGAGGACACAGCAAATTCGATTGATGAAGATCAATATCTATTCGTGGGAGCAATTGATGTGGTAGCTGAGGTAGCTCAGATTTTTGTAGAGCAGTGGCGTACAGAATTAAAAATTAAAAATGCATTAATAAGTTTTAAGATTGATACAGGATCAATGGCAAATGTGTTACCACTCAAAATAGTTGAGAAATTAGGAATAGCTCCTTCAGAAATAACTTCAAGTAATACAAAATTAAAATCCTATACTGGACAAAATTTGAATGTGGTTGGTAAATGTACATTATCTTGTGAAAAGAATAGCGAATGTTACCCTGTTACCTTTAAGTTTAAGTTCTTCATGTCAACTAAATTTAATAATGAAGGTTGAATCTGTAAATGATGAATCAGATGCATATGGAAAGTTGCAAAAAGAGTTTAATGATGTATTTTCAGGAATAGGGTGTATCAAAAATAAACCATACCATATCACTCTGGAGCCAGGAGCTCAACCAGTCGTACAACCAACCAGGAAAGTGGCGTTACCCTTGCAAAGTTCTTTGAAAGAAAGTCTAGATGAATTAGAAAAAATTGAAGTTATAGAGAAGGTAAATGGTCCTTCAGACTGGGTGAATGCACTTGTTCTGGTCAGGAAGCCTAATGGCAAACTAAGGATCTGTTTAGATCCTAATCAGGTTATAAAACGAGAATATTTTCAGATCCCCACTATTGAGGAAATTACAAGTAGGTTAACAGGTGCAATAATGTTCAGCAAACTAGATGCTACCAATGGGTTCTACCAAATTTTACTAGACAAGGAGAGTACAGACCTTTGTACCTTTGGAACACCTTTTGGTCGCTATAAATTCCTACGATTACCATATGGCATTAAATCAGCACCAGAGGTGTTCCAAGAAAGGTTCAAAAGCTTATTCTCAGGCTCTGGTACTGATGTGTATATTGACGACATTCTGGTATGGGGTACTACAAGAGCTGAACATGACACTAGACTCAAAAGAGTGCTACAGATAGCTAAGGATAATGGGGTAAAATTTAATCTTTCAAAATGCAAGTTTGGTCTAAATAAAATTGAATATATGGGACACATCATTTCCAAAGAGGGAGTGTCACCTAGTGAGTCTAAAATTCAAGGAATTAAGGATATTCCTGAACCAAAGGACAAATCAGATGTTCAAAGGTTGTTAGGCATGCTAACATATGTTAGCAAATTTTTACCAAATTTCTCAAGTGAAACAGCTCCATTGAGGGAATTATTGAAAAAAGATACATTTATATGGAAAGAACAGCAACAAAATGCATTCAGAAAACTGAAGCAAAAACTAAGTACAAAGCCAGTACTTCAATTTTTTGATGTTACAAAGGAAATAGTTGTTTCAGTTGACTCTTCAAAATCAGGGTTAGGTGCAGTACTTCTGCAAAACAGACTCCCTTGTGCATATGCATCAAAAGCTATGACAGAGACACAGATGCGATACGCGCAAATCGAGAAGGAACTCCTTGCAATTTGTTTTGGATTAGAAAGATTTTACCAATATATTTTTGGAAAAAAAATAACGGTAGAAACAGACCATTTGCCGCTAATTAACATTTTTAAAAAACCCCTGAATAAATGCCCCGCACGCCTTCAGCGAATGTTAATGCAAATTCAAAAATTTGAAATAGACTTGGTCTACAAACCTGGAAAAGAACTTCTGATAGCAGATGCTCTTTCAAGAGCATATGTTGCCAGAAGAGAAAACAGTTGTCTGGATAATGAAATTCAATCTCAAGTTTGTTTAGTTGAGATGGAAGTAAATGCAACACCAGAAAAATTATGTGAATTAGAGAAAGAAACGAACCAAGACAATGAATTAATAAAATTAAAACAAGTCATTTTAGCAGGTTGGCCAAATAACAATAAAAAACTAAGTGAAAATTTGAAACAGTATGCACCTTTTAAGAGTGAATTATGCATAATTGATGATTTAATTTTCAAAGGTAATTGTATTCTAATACCATCCAGTATGAGGAGTGAAATGATGAATCGTATTCACTATAATCATCTGGGGGTAAAAAAATGTATTCAGTTAGCACAAGAATCAATTTTTTGGCCTCAAATGGTAAACCAAATCAAACAAAAAATCTCGCAATGCCACCTATGTTTGAAATATGCAAACTCACAACAAAAAGAATCATTAGAAAGTCATGACATCCCTTTAATTCCATGGAACAAGGTAGGGTGTGACATTCTGGAAATAAATGGACATAAATATCTCCTCCTCGTTGACTATTACTCTAAATTTGTGGATGTGGTAGATTTACATAGAAATACAACTAGCGACAAAATAATTGAAATAATGGAAGACAGATTCTCTTTGTTAGGTATACCTTTGACACTGGTCTCAGATGGTGGGCCCCAGTTTAGCTCCAGTCAATTTAAAAAATTTGCTAATGAATGGAATTTTAACCACACTATGTCTTCTCCGACTTATGCCCAATCAAATGGCATGGCAGAAAGACACATACAAACCATCAAGAAAATGTTTAAAAAAATATTAGAGGAAAAAAAAGATTTGCACCTTGCACTATTACATTTAAGAAGCGCCCCTATAACTAAAAATATTTCTCCTGCTGAAATTCTGATGTCAAGAAAGTTAAGGACAACTATTCCATGTACAACTGATTCATTGAAACCTAAATTAGTATATAGTCAAGATAAAATGATTCAAAACCAGAGAATTCAGCAAAAACATTATTATAATCAGTCAGTTAAAGATTTGTCTGTAGTGGAAGAGAACACTAGAGTATATGTTCAAGTCAAGCCCAAGAGCGTCTGGACTCCTGGGATCGTATTGGAAAATATTAGGCATAGAACTTATAAAGTTAAACTGGATAGTGGATCAGTATTAATTCGTAATCGAAGATTTATTAAACCAATTAAATCTGACATCAATATCCCATTGAATATTCATCCAACTCCACGTTTAACAAACCCTGTTATGAAAGGAAGAAAAGAAGTAGAATTTAAATGTTACTTAGAGATAGATAGTGATAGTGATAATAATTCAGAAAACAGTGAAGAAACAGGTACTGCATCTGAAAACACTACTATAGAAAGCTCATTTGATACACTCGATAGTAGCAATGATAAAAATGATTTAACTAGTAGTAGTAATGCTGATAATACTTTTGATTCAGTCATGGATACAGACTCTGAGGAGAACCTAGTGAATAATGAAAAGAGTACATCTTCTAGAAGATTAATAAAACCACCTCAGAGGCTGAATCTTTGATGAAATTTAGTTGTTACCATATTGTTATTATATTTCTTATTGAAGGAAGGATGTTAGGAACATGATGTTCAGATGTTAGGAATCGGAACGATGTTTATTGGAACGACCCATCTCTAATTCGAATAAAGAGAGCATTGATTAACACACAAAATGGCGTGTCATTTAGATAACCTATTATCCTCAATAATTAGAGAATAACTAGTATTTACAGAGGTGTAAATTTCAATCTTGAATGTCTTGTGGTAATGGAGAAATTTTTGTTATTGGCCTTGTAACTATACCTCTAGTTGTATTAAGTTTTGCAACTTTTCCATCATCTTCCTTCAAAATAGATAAATCATTGACTTTCAAGTTTTTATATGGCTCCAGTAACTTGGGACGATGTTGAAGATGATTTAAATTCCACTTGAATCTTGTTCAGGGTATGCAGTCAAATGTGTTCCAATTAATATATGGCCGGGTGTCAAACAATTCAAATCTGATGGATTATTTGATATTGGACAAAGTGGTCTTGAGTTCAATATTGCCTCGATTTGGGTGAGAACTGCTAATTGGGTGTTGCCTATAACTCTATTCAGATGAAATTTGGTACTCTTTATAGCAGCTTCCCAAAGGCCTCCCCAATGAGGACTTCTTACCACCAAAGATTGTGATCTTAGAGTTCGGAAGGCAACAATCCTCGACTGGCACAGTCTGCATGATTTTCCTCCGACTTCACGAGGGTGACATTTTGCTCTGAACATAGCTGACCCTGTTAGCAACGAAAGTTTTTCAACGATGTGGAGAGTTTCTGAGCCATATACGAACAGTTCAATTGTCGCTATAGGCAGAACACTTTGAGATATTCAGAGTGGGAGAATACATTTCTGAGATGTATTTCAAAAGTTTAGCTAAGCGTACTGCTGCGCAAAGTTCCTACATCGGAATAGAAATTTCTTTCAGAGGAGCGACCTTAGATTTGGCCGAGACAAAATGGATTTTATATTCAGATTCTGAAATTCGATATCTAATATATGCCACGGCAGCATAGCCCTTTTCAGAGCTGTCTGCAAAGCCGTGCAATTCACATGAAATTAAGTTATTTGGCTTTATGAAACGGGGAATTCTAAGATTAGAAATGGTTGATAATTTCTGCTCCTAATGCTGCTGAAAACGATGTTGGATCGGGACAAAATGTAAACAATTTCGTCTATGATTATTTCCCTAGAGTGGATTAGATATGTCGACCATATTCCTGCTATTATTGATACAAACACTACTGATATAAATAACTTAATTTGAAGAATTGCTTCCCCTCTATGAAATTCACTTTTCAATGACAAATTTCTTGAAAATGATGTGTTGGAGGTAGAGTAGTTTCATTTGGAATTTTGATGTTGGAGTTGCTAGCCGTTAGGAGTGTGAACAAATCAATTTTGCTTTATTTTCAGAAATGTTTTCTCCAAGATAGGTCAGAGCTATTGCTAGTAAAATAACGCTTTTCTAATTTCAAACTTTTGGTACGGGACCAAGCTTTTGTTGAAATACCCTGTATTATACTGAAGCGTCCTTAATATTGGCTTTTTCAGTATCGTAAAATGTTACCCTTTTTAGCTATAATGTTATAAAGGGAAGTCAAACGACCACATTTTTAATGGAAATGCGAACAACAAATGAATTATTCAATATTGAAGATAAACTTTTAATACCTGTGAATTCAAACGCTACTGAGCTGTAACGTCAGTGTCTCCATAAGATCATCGGATTGATCCTATGTGCAAGATGGTACAAGGGATGCCATGATGCGAAATTACTATGTATTAGGATTAGGTAATTATTAGTTAATTGGTAATTCACTTCTGATCACTTTCAATTTACTCTGAACTACGAAGTATAAGTTTCAAGTGTGGCTAGGAGAAAATGTGATACAGGCATCTAACAATAAGACGCTTTTCACATGGTTTCTCGTTCAAGAGAAATAGATGAAGCAACTGGCGCTTACACAATGTTGCTAAGTTAAAATACCTCATTCTCCGCATAACTTCACTGTTTTCATTTCTCAATATTATTGACTAGAAGGCAGTGATGCTCGTATAGAAAATAGAACCAACTGAGTAATTTAGTATTGATTGATTCACAATGTGTTCCTTTTCCTATGGTAGATAGGTATGAGTAGTTACTTCGGTGAGTACCTGCACTTGAAAGTACTTTGCTAAAAATCGAATCAGAACTGAATGTCATATGAATATCTGCAATGCAATTCAATACATAATGGAATTTCACTTATAATTTTAAGTAATCCACAAACCTACCTAACTAATTATGCAATGCAATTGTTCCGTACCACATTTTTTAGGTAGGTAGGTATGTATTGGTTGAATTATTTAACAGCATCAATATCATATGCTATGCTATCTCATAGATAATGCCTACTATAATATTCAAGACTTCCTCCTGGATCAGCATCATATTTCCTGAACTCCTGAACATTAATGAACCTTGTAATCTAATCTTAATCTAATTGTGAAGTATTTTGATTTCTTTTTATTTTTAGCCATGTTGTATTGTAGGTTGGTCACCTTGTAATTTTGTATTGTAAAACTATTTCAATCTCTTCTTATTTTATTAGCCATGTTATATTGTAGGTTTGTTGTTTGTGGCATAGATTGTCTATTATTATTATTATTATTATTAGTATGTATTTTTGTATGAATCTTTGTATTATATATTTTTGACGAGCTCAACACCCAGTACTGGGTATTTTATAGAGTAAATAAATGCTATTCTATTTTATTCTATGCTAAATCGAAGAAATCGATAAATGAATATCAGAATAATCATAGTTTTTGTCCAAATTGGCAACACTGTCACGTCCATTCTTCATTCTATTGGCACCTGCGAGAATATGAGAGCATTACCAATCCAAATTACTCGCGCACATGTTTCGCGGCCATGTCTGATCGTTTGAATATGCTTGTTTATTTTGGAGTTTTTATTATTTATTATATGATAAATTGATGGAAAAAAACTAAAACAAAAAATTCAAGGTATTCCGTCCAGAGCCATAAATTTCGAGATATATATTTTTTAGGATTTACTGTAAAGGCACATTGAATATTCGCTGTTTATATTTATGGTCTTAAGAATTGGATGTTGATAATTGTAAACCCATATTGATACGACCTACTCATGAACATGTTAAATATGCTGATTGAGCTAACATAATATTCAGTGATGAGTCAAGATTTCGTCTGTGTAGCTATATTATAATAATTTGTACCATTATTTATAGCGAATTTCATTGGCAGGAACTGATGGCGTGTATATTTACATCTGTCTGTTCAACATACGCAAGTGAGAAGGAAACATATACATTGAGTGCAGAAACACTCCACCAGTTCCTACCAATGAAATTCACTATTAGTTGAATAGATGAAAAGGTGAATTATGAAAGAAAATGTTCAATGTGATTCTTGAATTTACTTTTGACTTTATTCTGGAATATATGCCTCCAATATCTCCATAATAGACGTTGTCATCTCAGACACAGTGTATTTCTATCAAAGCAACGTTGTGTTTTCTATAAAATCCTTTTTTTTTCACCTCAGAATCTACCGGATCTAATACGTCAAGGTCCAACACTTGATCAGCTTCTACAAGATGACCATTATGTGCCAGGCGGAAGCATTATTACCGATCTAATAATGCTTTTCAGTAGAAATCTCACCTTTGTGTAAGTTCATCTGCTACACTTATTGTCTCAAGGTACATGTACCGGGTGGTCATGTTAGGTCGGAAGGTACCAACGAAATTGAAACATTTTTCATTTACTGAGGAAATTTCAAAATTCAATTTTGAATAAGTTTGTATTATAGGGTGTCAAAACATTGTAATTTTATATAATATTTTTAAAAAATAACACGTACTTTTGTCGACAGTATGAACTATGGGAAAATTTTCATTTTATTCAAGGGATTTCTCAGCTTTCCAGCCTAAATTTTGTTTTTCCGATATTCAGAATGTTCAATATTTTCCAAACACTCAATTACATCATGTCAAGTTCAGGCACAGTATAATGATCTCACAAAAAATATTCGTAAATATGAGTTGAATTCTAATTCGAATAAAAAATTGTTAAATTGCAGTTATGAACTATTTCCAGTGGTGAATTTATGATTCGCAGCACAGGGTTGACAGGTTTCGGTAGTAATATCTGGTAAAGCATGATACCGGATGATCCATTGAAGACGATCCACTTAAGTTTTCTCTGTTGTGCTGCAATTAATGAGAAATCGCTCGGACAGGTCGATCTCGATTTGACGGGGGACACATTTTTCTGTAATTATCATATTCCAAAGCTGAAACCTTGAAGCGTAACGGGCATCAACTTTTGATTTTCTAATGAAGCACCCTGTATTTCATTGCATCTTCAGATTTTCCCTGAATCAACAGCAATGTAAGGTAGTTTCATCATTCCTCTTCGTGGATCATCTTTCCTGAGAGATGTGATGTCTCCATTAAAGAGATATCCTTCAGCAAGTTTATCTCTCGAATGTTTATAATGTAATGTGTTCTCTATTTGGAATCAAACACATAGGTATCACCTAAAATGATCATCAATTTGCAGTAAAAATACTTACTGAACTTATACATGTCTATCCATCCATCCATTCACCATCATTAGGGTCTAAAATGGGTTTTTCACTTTCTCTGTTCTTTTTGGCGCCAGCGAAATCATCACCACGTTCCTGTTTCGCAAATTTTCCCCACAGCAGCAATACTGATGTTTTATGCAGCAGCTACTCTCTGTAATTCAGACAAATCATATTTGGATCATTCTGACAACACAAAATATCATTATTAATACCATCATTCAACTTTTTACATATCTCACAGCAGTCAGTGGAAGTAATGGGCCATCATTATCACGTTCATTTTCGAAATATTGTAACAATGATACAGCCATCCTCTGCGCCTCCGCACTCAATGGTTTAGGCATTTTGAATAAACCAAATTCAAAATTCACCAATGATCCACAAATAAATCACAAACAAGTTCCTAAAATCAAATTTTCAGTAATGAATAATTCGCAGAGATCAGCTGATCACAACAAATCGCTTCTAGAAATGTCAAATGAATCTGGCATCGCTGTACAGTTTTGCCAACTCAAATCGGTAACGCTGTTCGCCCATTTCGAAAGTTACTAGTATTTTTTGTTGTGCAGTTTTGGCACGACATTGTTACCAAGTATTGTGCAACTATCTAGGCTGAGTGAAAGACCATTACATTGCCATGCCATTCTTCCATGGAATGAAAATGTATGTACATTCTGTTCGATTGTCTAGTGAATACTATTAGGATTATTTCGATTGGTAGTACTTGCGTACGACAATTTCTAAACAACTCTACTACAATTTCCGAATTGGCAACGTGTTGACCGAGTTTAATGTACATTCTGTTCGATTGTCTAGTGAATACTATTAGGGTTATTTCCGAATTGGCAACGTGTTGACCGAGTTTACCGACTTTTGTCGAAGTAGCGTAGCAATTTCAATTTAGGCTGCAATTTTGAAAAACTTTGAACAGCGCATTGGTTCATAAATTGCAACATTAACAACATTTTTTCGAGATCTGTTACAACACACATTGTAATTGTTGAATATGGTAAATTCATCACCAGTTCAGTAACCCATTGTCGCGAAGGCGATTTTGAGTATTTAATAGGTACTACTTGACTCAACTTCGATAAACTATGGACTTTCACCAGATCTTATATATTTAATTGTCTCAGTGAATGTAAACATGAATCAGAAAAAAATATCGTTTCGAGTTGGTACCTTCGGTGATTTTCAATTAATGACAATGATGAGTTTCTTGACCTAACAACATGTTTGTAGAGAATCATACGAATAAATATGAAACATTTAAGAGTTGAATTATTGATTGAAAACATGACCAGTAGCATTCTTGTATGCTACCACAAAATTAGTTTTCAAAAAAGTGTATTGAAAAAGGTTTCACCTAGGATTATTTTCAATGTGATTTTGTTTCGTGGATTCTCCAGATCTTGAAACTATAATGATACAGAAAATATCAACAGGGACCTGTTCACGCTGAATAGCGGAAATCTCGAGCCCATCAACAGAAACATAGACGAACTTCAGAGTTTCTCCAGAACCAGGATATGTGACGGAGACACTACGCCTGCTGGTATAGATAGAGGCGTGGATAGACTGATTACCGAAATGCAACCTTTCTTGGAGAGTTTCGTAAGTCAAAACCAAATCACTTCATTGATTGATTCTGTTAGTATTGCTAGTGCTAGTGCTGTCGCTCTGTTGTTCTCTAAATTGTGTGTTGTTTCTCCTTCTTGATGAACATTCGACTTCCGAATCATATGGAAGGACACCCACGAGTCCCACGACCAATATTTTCAGTCGTTTTTGTTAACCATCTGAATATAACAAAGTACACACATTCTATTTTCTTATAAATAAGGGCCTCGGTGAGGAAAGGTGCGACCTACCTCAAAGTTGCGTAAACCGGCTGTCAGATGACAGATCGATTAGAAATTAGAATCGAGTTTACCAAATAGAGTTGATGGAAAAAAAGAAATAACCCGGTGCAATTATAACAACTTCAGTGTACTGAACAGTTTTACGAATATGGTACAAAATCTTACTACTCCAACTCCTCAAAAATACTTGTGCGTTTCATTTACAATGGATTATAGTAGTGGGGGCAAAGAAGCTAAATAGGGACTTACTCGAGCGTAGTGGGGACGTATCAGATTGTGAAGATTAGATGCAAAATGAAAAAAAGTCTATATGATAATAATATATGACCTTTCACTGGTAGGGAGAGCGTTTACAAGTGTTGAAAAATGTAAAAAAAACAGTCACATAGAAATACTCGGCCGCATCAGATATTAAAAATGTATGCGCCCCACGTGTTTCTGATAACCGAAAAATATTAATCTGCCGGTTTGCATGGTGGGGGTGGCCGTACGAAGGGATAGAGAATAGGTTACAAAAAAAATCATTCGAACGTGTCAGATATTGAGAAGGGACGTTAAGTTAACCCTCAAGTAGCTCCTATTCAAACGACCGACGAGTTGGACGCGACCAAAAGTCATGATCAATTTTTTAAAATTAAAAAAAAAATCGTGACCTTGAAATACTCGAGCGCGTCAGATTATTATACAGACGCTTCATCTTAATGTCCTTGTCGTCTCGACCCATAATCTGACAATTATGTGAGGAATTACCTTAATCTGACGGTTCGATTTTTTTGTTAACTGCATGTAATAACTGAAATATAAAATATACACGGTGGTTCAGTTTTTTGTAGCAGGCCTTCAACATCTCGAAGAATTCACAATTTTGAGATGGAAGGCGCATGCAGACATTCAGGGTGGACCAATATTGTGGCAAAGTGAGCTAACGGCTTTGCTGTTTGAGATAGATGAACAAAAATTCTTGAGATGGTCTCATGAGCAGTACATTTCTGGAATATTTTGCATTATACAGGGTTACTCAAAAATGCGTGGCGTATCAAAGTTATACTTTTTCTTATAGCACACCTTGTAGTTTATTGCATTTTCAGAAACTTACTGCACTGAATACAATAAAGTTTTCTCTACAAATGTCAAAAAATGACAAGGTTCAAGCATTGATACGAAGTGATAATTTTTTTTTTCAGTTTCCTACGTTACCACCATTACATACATAGTTCCCAGTGGCTGCAAGCACCACACTCAATTGATAATTTTCGGTACTTCGGCTTGTGCAAATCGGCAGATAATATTATTTCCGTGATCCGTGACTAATTGCCTTCAAAATGAGAAAACAATTATCCGCGCTCGAAAATGTACAGGTGACGATTTTTTTTTGCAACTTTGTGGCTCTCCCATTTCCTTATGTCATGATCAAATCGTCAGATTATTGCACACTTTTCTGCATGTAATTAACGTACCATGTCTTAATCTGACGCGATAGAGTATTTCTGACGATCCATTTTTTTCCTAATCTGATCGGCTGCCCTAAACTTTCGACATCATATAAAGGGCCCAGATATTCATATTGTAATATGACTTTATATATAACACTATTATTTTATGTACCTATTTCAACGTCAGCTTGATTTGGATGCAACAATTTTGTCTGAAATTGGAATAAGAGTTAAGTTTCTTGGGTTCATCAAGAACTGTTCACTTAATCATAATCTGTCAAAAGAGTGAAGCTTGCCAATATTCGAAAGAAGTTCTAGCTTTCAACGTATTTTCAGCGAACATTGGCTGTGCAAGGTGATATAGATATGGTGAGATCTGCAGAGCAGTTGTTCAGGCAAAGGTTACCGAACATCATCAACATCGCCATCAATCTAAACGCCAACAACGTGAGGTTGCTGCTTAACCAGTGTCTAACGACATCTAAGCAACTATTGGCATTGATCCTCATGGCCAGTTCAGAAGGTCAACAGGGTGTCGAACAAATTGTAACGCAAGTCATGGTAAGCATTTAAAAGTGAAATTTGGGGGCTTCTTTTCAGCATAACTGCCGAAAAATGTGAATAAAGGGTTTTCCAGTAAATGTTTCTGATCTTCCGAATGTTTCAGCGGCAACACTACTTGGATTGCAAAGGTCAGATATTGACCGATGTCACAGCATATTATGCTGTGCCGATGTGTTTAGTACACTGTTACAATTACAAATTACCATAGAGATGTACAATCATCAAAATAGTGAAAGGTTCAAAGAGAAGTACTTTGCAAATAATAAAGGAAAATAGAATTTCATTTCATTCTGGTACAGAATGTAACAAAATAACTATTTATGTAATCAGTTTGGAAACGCTTGATTCTTTGTCGCAATATCAAAGTTTAACAGGATGGTTCAGATTTAACATCGAATATTTTGACAAGAGAGTATCCATCGTTCTGAATCGTAAAATACATAACAATATGCCTCCCTCGCTTTTTGAGGAAGTTACAGGTTAATTCAGCAATACTTCCAGAAATTAGCTGCAAATAACGATATTCGGTGTGAATACCTTAATTGAGAAGGCTTTGAAATACAAGTGAGCAAATAGAACATACCATTGAAATTTCGAAATTATTTCGAGAGAATATAGCCACTGTCTTTGGCTGACTTTTCTGACGTTTTCAGAATTCTCGTTGAGTTTTGAGAATACATGACCTCATAGATTTTGAAGTGTTCCAGTTCCAGTGTTATCCGCTTTTTCAAGGAGTGTGCAAACCCACTATCAACAAATTATTCAATTCTCAGTTGTGACTGTTAGTGATGAACTTTCGAAATTGTTCTGATGAAAAAGATGACATAATACTTGCAATGGGAGCATTTTTAAGCAGCGATAAACGAATATCGAATATCTTTTGATCATTCAAAGACTTTGAATAAAGATTTTGACAACTTGAGAAAGGTGTCAGACAGGCATTGGCGTACATTTTTTTCTTGGAATAATTCTGCAATAATCTCGTACGTCACTGATATTGTACCTTGTAACATTCTCAACAAGCGAGTGGAAGGCATGTTGTTATACAGGGTGTCGCAGGTTTGATTGATTGTCTTTATTATTTGTATTTCATTGTTATTTTATTTATTCGTCATTTCATTACAAATATTTTACTTACTTTTAACCACGATGACACCAGATTATTCTAATTATCATGCACTCAAAATTATTCAGTATGAATAAACTGGGTTCGGTTTTTTGTAAAATAAGGTTCATCTAGTAAACTTCTCAAAATTAACAATGAAATGGCAATTGTTTTTTAGTTTTATATACATTGACTTCCTCAGTGCTGAAATGAGGAATCAAAAATGAAATGGGGTGGGAACTCAATAAAAATGATTTTCACAACATTACAGGTCATGTCATATTGGTGAAGTAAATTTCGATTCATACTGCATCCAACCACTGTTTTCTTTGTTCAATGCTAGCAGGATCGGAAAGAAATAGTTTTCCAATTATGTGACCGATAGCTTGGCCAAAGAAACGTTAATTTGATGTATTTGTGTTGATATTTTTCTCATCATAACGAATTAATAATTTTATAATTCACAAAATGAAGAAAAAGAAAAATAAATTTATGTTATTTTAATTGTGCAATTGAAATTTATCACAACATTCAAACAGGAACTGACATAACATAAGACCATTAACTGATACTGAGACGAATATTTGTTTTGACATTGCTGTCAGGATGCTCTGTCAAGTTAGTGGTTGGATCGTATGGTGTTGATATCATATTTAGACATTTAACTTCATGACCATTATGACCAAGCCGAGCAAGTTTTTTCTCTTCAACACAGCCAAAAAGACAGTCATAAAGAAATGAGTATAGGTTTTGTCAAAGTATTATTGCTAACAATAGTCTCGTGGTAAATGGCAATCAGAAATAGCTTTGTCTTTAGACATAAATAAAGGATGGATACGTCGTATCGTACTTTATTGCATTGGATTGGTCACGGTGGTCACTCTTAACTATGCGTATTCCCGTGGTTTTCATATGGAATATCGTGAATTTCAATAACCATTGATATATTGAGCTATGTGGAGTGATTATAACTTTAAAATAATGAATTACAATATTGCATTGAAGAAAGCAAATGGTAGATAGAAACATTGAAAATTGTTTTTTGGTTTGGTCACGAAAAAACTGGTTTTTAATATTCGGGGTGTTGAAGTTCGCTCTAATGTAACAAAAGTTATCGATTAGAAATTTGGTGAGCACGTTACTATCAGCAGTATGAAAAGTTCTTATTGGTAGATTCGTCGATGCTATACTGGGTGTCATGTTTTTCGAATCATCTGATATTGAACCCATCTGTTTAATTTTTTGGGAGGCACTGGTGAATGAAAATTAATGTAGATTCGTCCTCATGTTGTCAGTTGTTCCGATTATTAAGTAGTAGGAGTGTTAATTTTATTATTGACCGGTAGTTTAAGAAGAATAATTCGTCATGTCGAAAATAGCATACCTAATGGTGAGTTCTAGAATTACTAGTGAAAATAGTTATTTATATATCAAGGTAGTAAAGAATATCATTATTACCCGAGGGGCATAAGGTCCCGTGGTAATAATATTCTTTTCTACCAAGGTTTATATTAAATTTTTTTAACCACTAGCAATATGTTTCAATCATTTTTGTTCTGTGAAACCGAAATATGGAACTATTGTCACTAAGAAAGCAATTATTTTCAATACTTGGCCATGACCATGACAACATATGACAAGTCGTTATTGACAAATACCTACTAGATTCCACTGCCATTCCTGCGAATATCTGATCAGAACAGTGTATTAATTCATTAATTCGGGTTAATTATAACAGAGGTCAGAGGTGGCCGAATGGGAGTATACAGGGTGATTCATTGGGAAATGCGCATAGAGTAAGGGTAGGCGGAGGACACCGAGGTGCTTCTGATTAATATATATTTAATGGGTCTATCATTCTTCGTAGCTGAGATACAGGGTGATTTATCAATTTTCTATTTTTTTTTCAATCAATCATAACTCATGAACCACCCTATATATTTTTGTGATATTTGGTGGACATGTTCTTCGTCCACAGATGTGTAGATTGACATAATAAGATGAAGTCTCATTCCAGGTCCGGCCTTAAAAAAATTAATAAGTAGGTTTTGAGTCGAAACAACACCCTGTATATCAATATTCTGGACTTTCATTCACAAATTTGAAAAGACCAGGAAGAAATAAGTCAGGCTGAATGTATTTCGTGTTTCCGCATACAACTTTTATACCTATTAACTTGAGTCAAATCTAGATGTTTCGATAATGAGGTGGCACAAAATTGAAAAAAAAATTAATTGTCGTCCCAAAATGGTACTTTTCCATTTTCAAACCATGAAATCATCAACTATTTCTCACTATCCTAATTTTTGGATCCCAACCTGATTGGAAAACGAGAGGACAGATCCGTATTTGGGACACATTATTATTATCAATGACTAACTATAAACACCATGTATGTGCAAGAAAATTGTCATAACATTTGTTTATTGCCCTACATTCGAAACAACAATAATTATCATGGAAATAAAGAACAATGCTCATTCCGAAAAGAGTCATAACTTTGTTTTCAACAGAAATAGCTTTGAACATAACAGAAAATCAAAAAACTAGGATTGTTGTAATTTTCAAGTTGGCTGATGTCAGAGTACAATTTTGACGTTAGTTGATGACTTAAGAGTGTGTACCTGTGTATTGTGTTGTTGCGTAATTCGTTGATAAATAGTTAACACTTACTCAAAATGCCACATAAATTCAATAATAATGAATATGCAGACATGTTGTATGTCTATGGATACAGTGACGGTAATGGGAAAGCTTCCCAATTAATTGGACCCATATCTTACCACATGTACTAACAAGAGAAATGAATTTGGAGTTCCTGCAAAATACTTTGCCCATATTGCTTTATGATGCAGGAGTTGATGTTGGAGGCATGTAATTTCAACATGATGGGGCTTGCCCTCATTTCAGGGTGATAGTAAGAGAGTTCTTAAATAACAACTTCCCGAATCATTGGATAGGGAGAGGAGGACCTCACAACTTCCATGCAAGGTTCCCACATTCTAATCCACTCGATTACCATGTTTGGGGTTATTTAAAATCTAAAGTTCATTCAACTGAGGTTAACACTAGAGGGGACCTCCTAAGGAGAATTGAGGACGCATGCAACGTGCTGAGAAATGAGCCAGCTATGATAAGAAAGTCAATTTCAAATTTAACTTTAAGAGCACGGAAATGTATTGAGCGAAATGGAGGCCACTTCGAACAACCGTTATAAATTATACTGTTCAATTTTCTTTGTCTCTTATTGTTTTTGTTTATCTCGATACAATTTGTTGCAACGACATTTTTGTTCGAAATAAATTATGCTTTTTCCGGAATGGGCATTGTTCTTTATTTCCATAATAATTTTTGTTCCAAATGTAGGACAATAAACAAATGTTATGACAATCTTCTTGCACATACAAGGTGTTTATAGTTAGTCATTGATAATAATAATTTGTCCCAAATACGGACTTGTCCTCTCGTTTTCCAATTAGGTTGGGATCCAAAATTTTGGAGAGTAAGAAATAGTTGATGATTTCATGGTTTGAAAATGAAAAAGTACCATTTGGGGACGACAATTAATTTTTTTTTTCAATTTTGTGCCACCTCATTATCGAAACATCTAAGATTTGACTCAAGTTAATAGGTATAAAAGTTGTATGCGGAAACACAAAATACATTCAGACTGACTTATTTTTTCCTGCTCTTTTCAAATTTGTGAATGAAAGTCCAGAATATTGATATACAGGGTGTTGTTTCGACTCAAAACCTACTTATTAATTTTTTTAAGGCCGGACCTGGAATGAGACTTCATCTTATTATGTCAATCTACACATCTGTGGACGAAGAACATGTCCACCAAATATCACAAAAATGTATAGGGTGGTTCATAAGTTATGATTGATTGAAAAAAATTAGAAAATTGATAAATCACCCTGTATCTCAGCTACGAAGAATGATAGACCCATGAAATATGTATTATTCAGAAGCACCTCGGTGTCCTCTGTCTACCCTCACTCTATGCGCATTTCCTAATGAATCACCCTGTATAATGGCAGGTTTTATAGCTAGTGGTGGAAAAAAGATATTACACTTACAAAGCCATGGCCCAAATGTCATTGTCACTAGGTATAATGAACTTTTATTTCTCTTCAGAATCGATTTATGCAAGATATTCCTCAAGATATACAAAATTGGACGCTGATGACGAGTCGGGTCCATTTGAGAAGAATTCTAGCCAATCTGAGCATTCCCGACAGTATATTGCAACCGTATATTGTCCATCAGTCTGATCCGATTGAGCCAACAGATGATGAAAGCCGGCCCATTGTACCTAGCAGTACTATCACTCCTAGTGCTCCTTCTCAAGAGGTAATTCTATTCCTTTTTGGTCGAATTTGAATAAGTTGCTAAAGTTCTTCAATTACCGGGTATCCTACTCAATGTTTTGGGATTTTGAATGCTCGTTACTCGAAATATTTCATATCCAATATCAATTACAGGCTATCAATTTGAAAACTTACCACCCTTTATACCCCCATTCCAGTATATAATATGAAAAATCGGAAAGATAGGTCGACTTTATATTCGAGAGGGACAATTTAAATGAATTATTTCAACTTTCATGGTTCAACCCCCTAGGAGGGGTAGATGGTATCCTTAGAATCTCGAATGGGAATGGGGGTCAAGTTGCACATCATTTTGAAGAGCGTTCAATTATCTTCCCAACGATACCATAGCTTTATCACCTTTTGAAGAGCAGTTTCTAACTTACAGAAGTAATTAGTTTTTTTCTGCAATGAGATGCACGGTTTTCAGTAGAAATGGTTAGTAGATTTGGTGGCACCTCTCCAACTCTTCATCAGGGTTCAACATTAGCCATTAGCTCCAAATAATTGGCATCAATAAGTAATCTAATAGTGACATTTTCAGGAATAGTTTATTTGGTTCATTATTGGATTTTCAATTCTTATCTCTAAAATTTTACAGATTGTCTTCCTTTTTTGCTACTTCCAAGATTGGTAGAATTGATGATTATCTGTTGTGACGTAATCCCATCGGAAATTCCATTTCGGAGTCATGGAAATCTATATTCTACAACTGTCTTCATGTATATTTACCCATCCAGCTGTAATCTAGAATTATACATACATTTCAATGATCCCAACATGAAATTTTGGATGCGATTACGTCACGAATTACTATTTCCCCTCACCGCGTTTTCTAATCGAGGCAACCTTCCTCTACAAATAATCATCCGGTACCAACCTTGGCTACTTCTGCTTTAAAAAGATTATTTTTTACTTTTCTATTCAATGAAATGTTACGTGTATTATGTAATTAATTGAGCTGTCGTATACTGTTGCGTTTCATTATTTCTATTCAGAGGGGCGGTGGTAGATACAAAATACATATTCATAACAATAACTATGACATGACAAGCAGAACGACAATTCAAGTCATTCCTCACGTCTGGAAGGACTGACTTAGTGTGTCTATGTGTAACTTTGTGATCTGATCGATTCTGGAAGATTCACCATACATTTTTTTCAACTCAAATTTGTGTTTTTCTTTTTTCTACAGACCATGGAAGTGGATGATCAAGTATCAGAAATTGAACTACAGGCTCCAGTGTCAGAAGAACCTTTACCAAATGTTGTGTTGGGGTCTGAGCCTTGGCACGGGCAAGTTCCAGAGGTATGTCATAAGTACTCATTGTACAGGGTAAAACAAGTCGAATGGTATTGAGGTTATCTGAAACGGTAACGAGGTGTCCTACGTAGGCAAACGCGAAGTGACGCTAGGTACTTCGCGCCATATTCGCATTCGCGAATTTGCATTTCCGTAATTGTGGGACGTATGAGTCCTTTACTTGAAAACTCGTATCTCAAATACAAATTCATCAAGAAAGAACGATGTCAAAGAAGTCAAAATAATATCATATATCTGTTATCGTGAAAGTCCGAAAGCCGGTGATTGTCAGGATATACCAGTGAATGTCAACATTCACCAATTTACTTGTCGTATGTCCGATATATTCATCAAATATCATTATTTTTAACTTCCCGGCGAATGTCAACATTCATAATATACTCATGGTGTATGTTCGAAAGAATTTTTTATCAAAAGAAAACAAAATAAAACTAGATTATTATTTATTTTGATTAAATCATGGAAGGAGTTTTCAAATGAACATAAAGAAGTTGTTGAACTTAAGACAAATACAATAACAGACATAATATTAATGTAAAAATGAAATGCGTTTCATTTCTTGAACTTAAATGTAAAAAACAAAGTAAATGTATGGCAACCTTATTTATTGTAACAACTTAAGCTACCATGACACTTTGAATTACACAAGAGGCTCTTGTTTTTACAGCTACATTCAGACGTGGAACACTTCTTTTTGCAGTTACAGCGTGTATAGCCTTGCCCTCCGCTTTTTGAATTAGCAGAAGCTTCTTCTCTTACCGAAATCTCTTGAGCTGAAATCTCATCCATGGAAATTAACTTCTCTTTGCGAATTGCAAATTGATTACGGGTGCAAAGCTGCTTCAAGGTGCCATTTTTGTTTGCTATTTACTGCAGTAGCCATCGAGTACAAATTATAATACCACTATCAATCAAACCTTGTGTAAGACTGGCGACAAGCTCACACGAAAGCGAAGGGAAGCGAAGAAACCACACAAAAAAACTGTTAGGACCCGTCGTTTCCGACATCGACCAAAGCTTATAATATGTGTTTGTCGACATACCGGGTGGCTACGGAAGTATTGCCTACGGAATATCTCAGTTATTGTATGAAGTAGGTTTGTGAAATTTGGAGCGTCGATATAATGACATAAGAGCTAGAATTTGAGCATATTGACATGTCGAAATTAACTTCCGGTCTAACCGGAAGTAACATCAACTTTCTTGTTTTAAATGGAAACCCTATTTTTTTTTCGTTTCGCTTTATTCAGCATTCAATTCCCTTCCTGATGACATATTATCACAAGTTGGTATCTAACCAGACACTAGATCAGAAAAAAATTATCAACAGTAATTACACAAGTGGTGGTAATTTTTTGATAATTTTAACTAGATGCACGAATCTTTGTTGCTATAGAAATTTCACGAGTGGACGAAGTCCACGAGTGGGATTTCTCAATAGCAACAAAGACGAGTGCTAAATCTAGTTAAAATTATTTAAAAAAATAACCAACACGAATGTAATTCGGCGTGATTATTTTTTTTACTATTTCGCAAAATGCCCCAGAATATGTTTATTAAACAATTATTTATTGAACAATCATTTATCATACAATTATATATCAAACAATTATATATCAAACAATTATATATCAAACAATTATATATCAAATAATTATATATCAAACAATCAAGAATGTTTACAATTTACGTTTGTAATGGTGCAATTATTGTATGTTATTGTACAATTTCCTTGAGATGAAGAGGTCGAAACAGTGTTTCCTCTCAAGTTGTTTATCATGCTTGCGTGATGCTCTTTGTCAAGTTGAAGATAGGGTTTGATGGAGCTTGCAGATGAATGTCCAGTTATCTTCAACAACTGCTGCTCACTTACTCCACTTTTAGCGAGTTGTGTCACAGCAGAAGAACGATGTGAATGGTTTGTAACCTTGATTTTGCTAGGATCCAAGCCAATCTTTCGGGCCGCTTGTTTTGTCCATTTTGCTATTTCATTTTGTCCTACCGGAAGATTTTTGTACCACCCCTTAGACAAAGGTTGCTGCCAATTTGGATTAGGTGTTAAAAATAAACGATCAATTTGAATATTTGCACTTCTTTTCGACATTAACTTCCGAAAGAGACGTACTGGACATTTTTCAGTCTCATTTTCATTTGGCGTTAAAAATTTGCTATCAGATAACCTGTGCGATCCTCCTTGTGCTGTTTTAGAAATTATTGGATTATATTCTATCCTTCCAGTTTGATTTCCATAATGATCCATTTCTTCTCTAAAATACTGTACTAATGCTTTTGTCGCTTCTCCGCCTCTCCAAGCCAATTCGTAGCTAGCAGTATGATAAAACTTCCTTTGTAAGCCATTTGGAGTATTTTCGTCCCATGCTGCTATCATTTTTTCTATTTCTTCTTTCTTGAGAGCAACAGAAGATGCTTTTCTTTTTTCAGGAATATGTTGAAGTTCTCGACGTTTGCAATTCCGCGCATCTCGCGCGGTCTTAAATTCAATATCAGTGAACGGATCAATGTTTCTATTATACTCCCTGAAATATTTTTCCTGGATAAGTTTTGCGGTGACATTCCACAAAGTTTTGACAACAGATTCTTTGTAGTTTTCTCCATTTTTTTTTCGCATGTTATATGCCCAGTCCTCCATAATTGATGCGATTTGTTTCATCTCGGTTGTTGCAGTCAACTCATAATTACGTTCAAGGCAGAACTCCAAAAACTGTTTCCATATCGTATTCTTGCTTTTTGTGGTGTTGATTGGTGTTGCTTGTTCGACAGCTAAATGTATTGAATCAGCCGAGCTTTGACCAAATCTCGTGCTCATGTCGGTTTCTGTTAATGACTAATAATAATTGTAAAGTTTTTCCGAACCTATACCAACTCGTTTAAACGTTAGAGAAAATCACAAAATACGAAGTCTGACTGATACTTAACAATGGCGTCGGTTCTGAATTCGAAATGTTTACATTGAGACAAATAGCTGCGTTACCTTGACAACCAAGTCAAGTCAATGCTAATTCTCTAAAGGTGCCCCATAGACTGCGTTGTTGGTAGGCCGTTTTGTTCGTCGAACAAGTCTGTTCGAACAAAAAAGACACAAAACTAAAGTGTGTGGCCAGCGAAAACGAACATTTTACAGCCACACACTTCGGTTGTGCGCAATTTTTGTTCGAACAGACTTGTTAGTCGAACAAAACAGCCTATCAACATCGCAGTCTATGGGTCCCTTTTTGTATCCATTTGAAGGAAGATCCAAACGTGAATAAGTCATCGCGGTAATTTGATACTAACAAATTATCAGTATGATTCCGAATGATTGGCTAGAATCACGCATTGATATTGGTTGAAACAAGGAAAACGTCACATTTTGACATGTAAAAAAAATAATCATGGAAATTCAGCGAGTAGAATAATAATTGGATTTTTTGGTATTTCATTTCAAAAAATGAATGAATAGTACAGACAATAAAAAGTTGTATGTTCCTATTTAAGTTATGGACCTACAGAGTATTGTTTTTTTCCCAATTTTTCCAATATTTTTTTTGGCGGCTTTTTATAACGCCGACAAATGAAAATAAAATATCACAGTTGTAGCAACTGTTATCAAGTGACGTATAATTTCCATAGCCAACTTTTCTATTTCTGGCTTTCATTTTGCTTCCACGGCCTACTCAATGAATTTCAATTATAACTTGTGATATGTCATTAGAAAGGGAATTGAATGCTGAATAAAGCGAATAGAAAAAAATAGGGGTTTCCATTTAAAATAAGAAAGTTGATGTTACTTCCGGTCAGACCGGAAGTTAGCTTCGACATGTCAATATGCTCAAATTCTAGCTCTTATGTCATTATATCGACGCTCCAAATTTCACAAACCAACTTCATACAATAACTGAGATATTCCGTAGGCAATACTTCCGTAGCCACCCGGTATACCGGTGAAGGACCGAATTTATATTAAAACTAATGATTGTTCGGTCTTTCACCAATACATTTGGTGTGTGCCGAACTTAGCCGGTATATGTCAACTATCACTAATTTCGGTCTTTCACAGTAACATATCCACAAAAACACGAGCAAGGAGTATTTCATCATCATCGCGCGAAAATATCAATCCAATTGATCGAATCGCTTCGCCTATAATCGCGTCTTCATCGCTTGTCGCATGCATTTGTTCACATAGGACACTTCAATGTTTTTGTGGTCTGACATTTTCGCATCTTGTCGCATCGCTTCTTTTCGCGTTCGCATAGCAGTTACCCACCGCCTAAGGGAGCAAAACGCGATCGTCCATCGTTTTCGACTGCCGTGCTCCAAAGCGGTGAGTAAAGGCGTTTCCTAATAACCCTCAGGTCTCAGATACTGAGGTCGATCCCGTTGTTTTATTTATTTATTTTTTCGAAAATCGAGTTTGAAACATCTAAACCTATTGTCTGTGAGTCGAGTCTTGAGTCAAAACTACCAAAATAAATACATCATAATTTATAATAACTGAGTAATTACTCGAAAGTACTTTGATAATTCGTGGTAGCCAAGGTCATCATCTGACGTTGCGATGGCATAAAAACTACGGGAAAACGTGCGTAACTAAGCCAAGAGTTAGGAATATTTTCCCATAGTTTTCATGTCATCGCAACATCAGATGATGACCTTGGCTACCGCGAATAGTCCATGGAAATTAAAATTTTCATTGTGGATAGTTTTTTGTTAGTTGTTCCAAAATGATTTTTCTGGATTTTCTGGATTGCTATCGATATCGCAATGAAAATAAATTCAATCACATAGAGAGATATGTTTATTTCACACAAGAAGGCTCAATGGCGTTTTCTTCAGATCAGTGCTTTCAATGATATTGCCGTGAAAAGATTGTTCAAAACATTGTTTTCTTTTGTTTTTATACAGAGTCTATTGAATATCCCTGAATACGAAACACTTTCATTTCTTCTGAATCACTAAGTTTAAGACTCGTTCGCAACCAGGTCCGAAATTCTTGATTCGCAACAAGCAACATTCGCCAAATATTCCCGCCAAAATAGTGATATTACATTATGGTCATGTTCAGATATTGCTGACATTACTGGCCACAATAATCAATTCAGGAACACTAAACAGTAGCAGTACCTTTAAATTGTCATCTCATTTCGGAACGATTTTGGCAGTACAAAACATAACCCTAATCTCTTTCGATTTTCGATGCTTTGTTTTGTTGATTTCATTCTTGTTATTATCTTCTCTACTCACGTTGAAATTATGGATGGAGTGATTAATCATATTATCTTAGAAGACAGTATTCGATAGTGATTGTGATTCCAAGCTCTAGTACGTCTAGTTCCAGTGATGAAGAACATCGCTGTGAAAATATTTGAAGCATAGCTGTGAAATTTTTTTTATCAAAAGTGGGAATAACAAACAATCTTGTAGATTAGTGGCAGGTTCAGCGTCTACTGCCACTGTGAGATCTTCCAGTTCGACTTCATACATTTTCCCAAAGTATTTGAAAATAATAATATATAATTTTCATACCTAACATTTCATGAATACTGGCAGTACATCAACATTTCTGCACCAGTGGCCAACAGTTAACTTTTAGCCTCTAACAGGGTTCCTTGCAATGACCCGCGAAAACGTTGCCAGTAGATTTCAGTGAAATCGGAACGATAAAGAATACTGGGCTGTAATGTTCGGGAATATCAGAACTCTGTGATTATTTCGATTCTTTCTTCAATTCATGCGTCGGAAACAGAAATATGTATCACGTGTTTCATTTGAACTACAAGTATTTGAGAGATGGAGATTATTTTGTGATTTGTCCTTAAATTGTTAAATGAAAAAATTCGAGATTTCATTTTTCCGGCAATGAATAGTGAAGTTTCACTTCTTTTTTATACATACCGGATTCATGAAATTTGTAATACCCTGTAATAAGTGTAATAGTTACACTATCAAGTTAGAATTGAGATTATACTTTAGCCTTATCTTCCTTCAACATTTTTTTTGTATTCAATCCAATATCATTTCGATGACTGGAGAAATGATTTGACAAAGACGGCCTTTACTTGAAATAAGAGAGCTTATGTCATTTTGGTCCAGGTATTCCCAAATTTGAGTCAGTCTCTGCCGTGCGTCGTGCGTCCCTTGTAATCTTGTCCCAAGGATGTACCAGAGATTCTCAATGGGATTTAAATCCGGGCTCCGAGCTGTTCATGCGATGGTAGCGATACCGACTTTCTCTCTAAATAATTTTCTCACAACTCGGGTGACATGAGGCCTGGCATATTTTGCATCAAGAAACATCCTCACACTAAATATAATTTCAAAAATCTCCAATATGTACCTTTCAGCTGTAAGGCTTCCATTAATAATCATAAGTTCCATGCGACCAGTCAGAGAAATGTCTCCCCAGACAATAGCCCGCTACTTGCGTGCTTATAAAGCTTATTGAATTCAATAAAATCATGTTATGCTATAAAATTGTGTTTCTGAAGCAATAGGAATGATAATGGAGTAAATCCAAAAAAGGAATGTTGAAAAAAGAGAAGGCTAAAGTGTAATTCTAACTTGATAATGTAACTGTTACACTCTACAGGGTACTACAAATTTCATGAAAAAAACACGCTATAATTTATTGCTACACCCAGTAATCATAAAAAATAGGTACTTATGCAAATACAGTTTGCACGTCAATATCCAGAAACCTGTCATTCATAACAAAAAACGTTCAAATCGGACTAGTAGTTTTGACAAAAATGTATCTCATACTTCTGGAATACTTTGGGGGTGCGTTAATTTTTTGGGGAAGTGTATATTATTGGATATGTTTGTTATCGAGATATTTTAAACAAAAGTAATTGACAGTTTTGAATATTCGCGGTCGCCAAGGTCATTACATTAGGTTCTGATGACATTAAAAACTACAGGAAAACAAGTCTAACTTTAATCGTAGTTTTTAATGTGATCGCAACGTCATACCTTGGCGATCGCAAATCCTTTGAATTTTTACGTTCTAGGACTGGGTACCGATTATCACGAGAGATGCCCAACGACAAAGGAGACAGAATTCGCAAGGACCCTTCAGTGATGCCTATCTATCCGGGATGCCTAGTAAAAGGAGAAAAATTGTCAACAGTTCCAAACCTCAGGGCAGTCTTCCACAAGTTATCACAGGTTAATATTTTTTTATTTTTTTATTTCATTCTTTGTTATTAACATTACATTGCATCTCATAAAAATATAAATATATTTATTAACATTTACAATGAAATGACATACATACAGATTACAGATTCATATCTGGTATGAGATTATTCATGCATTAGTAAATTATATTATAGTTATTGAAATAAACAACAGATTCAGAAATAATAATAATAAAACAAAAAGCTCATGAAAAGTACATTATGACATGATGAAATAAATTAGTGAATGAGAAATCATTCACTCAGGTTTGATTTTTTCTTTGCAAGAGGATATGTTTCTTGACTCTAGTTTTGAATTGGGTGATATTTGTGCAACTTTTGATATCATCAGGTAATTTATTGAATCCGTGAGTGAACTTTTTTTGGCCAAGTGAAGAATTAGCAGCATCAAGATGAAACAAGTCATATTGTCTAGTATGATGTTCATGGATTTGAGAATTCCTTACCAATATGAAGTTAGATTTGAGGTGTTTGCTGATAATATCAAAAGAAATTTTGAGAGTATTCATCAGAGAGTGCTCTTCAAAGAAAATGTATTTGTTTCTTCATAAAGTTGATTTGAAGGGGTGTCATATGGAAGACGATTCAGTACTTTTAATGCTTTTTTATATAGTACAGATATTTTGTTAAAATTATTCTTGGAACATGAACCCCAAATATTTATGAGATAGTTCATTTTACTAAGGATGTGAGAGTCAAGAACGGTATTTGCTATATTTGGGATAAGTTTGGGACGTCTTCTTAGGGCACCAACTATGGAAGAAATTTCCTTCTTTGAGCATGCCAATAAGCGTCCCATGTAAATTTTTCATCAATCCAAATACCAAGGTATTTGGTATAGGCAGTTTGTTTCAATCTTTCATTTTTTATTTTCATTTATGCATTTATCCATTAAGTCATCTATTCATTTGTTTCAATTCAATTATTAATTTTTTATTTATTCATATTCATTCATTATTCCATCTGTTGGGAAATAAAAAAGTGGTCCTTTTCAAATTCGACACTGTTTGGTACTTTGTACATCATCCTATATGGGTGGTGGTGATTTTGGCATCTTTCGTCGCCCTGGTGTGCATGCCAAATAACCTACTAATAATAGATTATACAAATGAAGTATCTTTCTAATGGCATACAGTATGAAATCATGGAAAAACTGTATTGAATTTTCACAAAGATTTCCCGAAATTTGGCACCGTTGGTCAGACGAGGAGCGCATGCCAATTTTTCCAGAGTGTTTCCTAACTGGTTACGTAAATATCTATTTGATGAAAAATATGGGTTTCAAAGAACAATATATGCATGCCGACTTATTTTTTTGATGAATCATGGTGAATTATTGCTCATATAGCCTGAACCACCCCGTATATTAGCTCGCCCATTTCTATCCAATGAACACTTTGGTTGATGGAAAATAAATCGAAACATCAGAGGGATGTACCTCCCTTAAGAAGTTTTTTCAGAAATATTATATATGCATGCCGACTTATTTTTTGATGAATCTTGGTGAATTATTACTAATAGCGCCTGAACCACCCTGTATATTAGCTCGCCCATTTGTATCCAATGAACACTTTGGTTGATGGAAAATAAATCGAAACATTACTCCTAATAACATGAAGGAATCTATCATAACAAATATCATATGAATTTTTCACAACGTTCCGCATTTTCAGGAAAGCCACAAAAATCTGGTAATCAAATGATTTTGAACCGCCCCTGGCATGGTCACGTCTCTTCTGTTACGTTAGGGGACACTTGAATAGAATGATATTGGCCTTCTAGGTCTTTGAGCTATGTGGTTGTCAACCGGTATATCTTGAAGAGTCGGTAAAAAATTTTCATTATCTCTCCTGAAAAATAGTCAAATTTTAAGAGAATTTCGTTCGTGAAATTGGAAAAAGTATAAAAATTGGCTGAAATTGGTGATCCCGCTTCATATGGTGCTGAAAATAGACGACGACCTGTGATTCAATGGACTGGGGAAATTGTTTGAATTATGTATGTGACAAGCAAATCAGAATAATTTCGAAATGTCAAAAGATATTTCAAGAACTCTACAAGATGATCTAAATTACGATTTTTTTCAATGCACCCAAATAGACTATGCTGAAACTAATGATAATTCAACAAAGGAGTTGATAACTTCAGAATTTGATCATGAATCAAGTAAACCTATAAAGAGAATTTTTTTTAAGAGAAAATGAACTTCTACTAGAACTGTTGAAAGCAAACGATGAAATAATTTTGGAAAATGAAAAAATAATGACCACTCTCACCAATTAAAGTGGTGTTCTTATCAACAGAGTACAACAATATGATAACAGAGAGAAATGGATATCAAGAAATTGTATTATTATCGAAAACTTTGAATTCTAAAATGGATTATTTCACTGTCAAATCAAATACATCAGAAAATATTGAAATGAAATCATTTGCTGGTATAGTGAAGAAACATATCATAAAAAAAGATATTCCTCGCAATTTTCCTTCTTCAATAATAGAACCGAAGTCTCTCCAAACTCATTAAAACACCAAAGATCAATTATTATTTCGGTATATGGTTTGATGAAAAGTTGAAGTGGGACAAACATATTGATGTTTTGACAAAGAAAATATCTCCAATTATTGGTGCATTGAGAAGAACATGATTCTCTACTCTCGTATACTAGTTCGCATCAACTATTTGATAAAAGTTTTGTAGATCTTGTTCAAAAAATAATTTCAATAAAATATCAGCATTATATAAAAAATCCTCAAAAGTACTATACTATACTGTCTTCCATTTTGATACACCAACTAATCAATTGTATGCAATAACAAATACGTATTCTTTAGATGAAAATATTTAGAATAAAAACTCTGAAAATTTCATATATCATAAATAACAAATTCAAGTCCAACTTTGTTTTGATAACGGAATTCTGAAATTCATGATCATGAAAACAGACAATACAACTTGTTTCACATTGACGCTAGTAGCTCCATACTCGAGATAGTAGCTCCATACTCGGACAAAAAAGATTCACTCATGCTGCCTTAATAGAATTCAATAAACTACCTGGCCATATCAAAAGCTACAGAAATATAGGTAAATTCAAAAATGAAGTGAAAAAACTGATTGGTTTTGGATGGTTGGTTGGTTTGGTTGTTGTTTCAATGTGCTTCCACTACAAATATTTTTCTTTGTTTTCCAATTTATTGTTGTTGATGTATTTTGAATTATGAGATGTTTACCTATAGGTATATAATCATGTACTTCCTCATACCAGATCCTATTCTGTCTGGAAGTTATTTGTTTGATGAATAAATAAAAAATAAAAATGAAAAATTTCCGTTGAAAAAATAATTTTACACAAAATCTGTTTTTCAGATGGCGTGCGACAAGCAGTAAGTACGACTGGTCTGACGTCCGTGTCTCCTTTGGAAACGGTGGCCCAAGCCGCTGGAAATTCGCCCGAAATACAGACCGCCTACAGAAATCTGCTCCGATCCACGGTGCAAGCCAGTTTGAGAGAAAACGAAGAATTCTTGCCGGAACGATACCCTAACATTCAAAATTATTTTAATAATGGTAAGCAATGAAAATTTTCCGACGTCAGGTTTTCTTGTTAGGGAACGTCAAAAGTTTTCACGTGATAATTGACAAACTCATGTTCATGGAATAACTTTATATATTCGATTTAGAAAACCAATAAATTATGGTGCATTTCTTCAAACACTATATTCTTTATAATAGAATATCAGAATATCGGCGCCCCAGAAGAATATCCACATTTGCAATTTATAATATCTCCTTCAATTTGACATAAAAGTTGTGGGATTTTCTTGGTTAAATGAAAAATTCTGTGATTTTTTTGTCACATTTTCTTGTGACGCCTATTTACTAGCGCCTACAGACACCATTTTACTCTTACGAAAATGTCCGAAGCCACCAGATCGTTTAGCACGTTATGTATACTGAATGCTCGTGCATATTTGGCGTAGTTCATTTGATTTTTGACTACCAAGAACCATTTTCCCTCAGTGCTGCACAACTCCCCAAAAAATAAAGAACTTGTCAAAAAGTATTACCAGAAAGACAAAAGCACACGCACTTACCGGCAAAAAAAAATTCGGCCACCAAAAAAAGTCATCAAATGGGTCGCCCTGTAACCTTCATAATTTTTGTCTGATTTATGTTTCAAAATGTTAACCTGAATTGAAGTTACCAAAAAAACTGATGGCTTGATCATTTTACAGGAAATATAAAAGTAACCATTTCATGCCCAATTTCTTAACGCCCTGTGGAAAAAGTGAGTGGATAGACCTAGTTTCTATTTTTTTTTATTAAACTGTTTAATTGAAGATTGGTCTGTTGTTTCATCTACAATTATGGAAAAGAAACAGCCTGGTTCTGCTATTTTATTGTAAAACTCTTCTTTTATCACTTTACCTAAGCTATTTTTTCAGAATGTGCGTTGCCTTAGTTCTTCTTGAAGATATTTGTTTAGCTATTTCAGAGTCTGAAAATAAGTCCCCACAAAGAGGGCTCAACAAATCCATTAGGGGAAATGGCAAATTTTTTACAGCTACTAAACCAGACAGCTTGATTTCTGCCCTTCTGATTTTGACATCTAATGGATGATTAAATAAACTTGGATTGTTTTTAGTTTTTTCAACTTGTCTGGCATGGAATTTGTGCTTGATGAAGTAAAATGCCTCTGGATATCACTTCTATGTGCAATTATGTCACACTGACACAATTTACAGTATGCCATTTCATTCCCATTTTTATATTTTAGAGACTTTTCAATCCAAGTTTTGAATTCGGGTATCTCGGTCCAACTACTGAATTTATTTGGTTTTCTTTTATTATCTTCACTGGTATTTTTCTGAAATACATTGAGCAATTAGTACCTAATCAAATGCCAATTAATTCCAGTCTAAATTTCGTTTAGGTACCTTTATTATGACTGATGAGTTTGAAATTTCAACAGCAGATGTAACCTGAAAATAAAGTCTATACTCATCCGTACAAAATACTCCTATTATTATTACAGTTTGTTTTGATTTTTCCAACTATCTATCCATCACATCGAAGGTATAAACATTACATTGCATCTCATATAAATATAAATATAATCATTAACATTTACAATGGAATAACATGAATAATCAGACAGATTCATATCTGGTATGAGATTATTCATGCGTTATCAAATTAAATTATAGTTATTGAAATAAACAACAGAATAAAAAAAAATAATAAAACAAATGAATAGTACATTATGACATGATGAAATAAATTAGTCAATGAGAAATCATTCACTCAGGTTTGATTTTCTCTTTGCAAGAGGATATGTTTCTTGACTTTGATTTTGAATTGGGTGATATTTGTGCAACTTTTGATATCATCAGTGTGAGTGAACTTTTTTTGACCAAGTGTAGAATTAGCAGCATCAAGATGAAACAAGTCATATTGTCTAGTATGATGTTCATGGATTTGAGAATTCCTTACCAATATGAAGTTAGATTTGAGGTGTTTGTTGATGATATCAAAAGAAATTTTGAGATAGGTAGAGATTTATTATCAAAAATAATATTTGTTTATGAACACTATCACTTTATAATCCCTGCCTCTTTGATTTCTGACTGACAGACGACGTATGCATAGAATATATAAGACATAAACATAGTAAGCCACAGAGATACAACTATAGAAAAATTAAGTGTCGTGATGAGTTCGCACAGAACTAAAACACAGTAAGTTCTGTGGTTGGTCGTGTTTCGACCACAGATTAACGAAGGTTCGAATGTTCCGATTTGAGCATCGTATCAGCAATAGCGCTTCACATCACAGATTATTATTCCAACGCTTCAAAATACCCGATTTTTACCCGACATTTGATTTTTCCCGAAAAATACCCGTCAGAGTACAAAATACCCGCTTTTCGGGTAAAATACCCGCATGTTGGCAACCCTGCTACGTTGCTCTATGGACCATTGCATTCCTAGCGAACTAATATACAAAACAAATCTATACGCTCACCTCTAGCGAGCAGTGCGGGATTATTGGATGCGGTGCTATGTTTATATCATGATACGGATAAAGCACAATCGTCGCCGGAAACGATCGGTCGACTTCGGACACTTTCGTGACTGCTGAAGATAATGTTAATCGGTGTCGGTAGATGCTAGTTTGTAGCCTTTTGTTTTAATTTGTCTGTGGAACACTACACATGAAATTTTATTATGAATTATATATGCTGTATATACAAAACCTAATTATGATAGTATGTTATTATAATATCCCAATATTATCTTAGTGATATGATTGATATAAATATTTTTTAAATTAATATGTCATTTATACTCTACAGGTCATTCTCAAAATGTAATTTATTTTTCATTATCTTGTGTAACACTCAACTATGTTTTATGTTTTATAAAATGAATTGTTTGTTATTCTTAGTTTTTAAAAGTACACTGATTATCGATCTTGTTTGTTTTTCTCTATTGACCTTATGTCTCATCAAAATGTCACAAGGGCATAACAACTACTACTAGTAATACTAAAATGCTTCTATCGAATGAGTGTATTTTGTTCCTGGGATCAAGAAATGGACAAAAAACAAGGTTAGTATAGGAGCACTCACTCTCAGGGCATGGTGTATAGAAATGAGAACGTCATTGAAATTGCTCCAAATTCAGGAAAGTTTCAATGAACGAGATAGTGATTTTTGGACTGATACAAATAGTTCAAATTGAAGAAAACAACTAAGAAGACAATATTATTGAAAGTAATATATCTTATGACCTGACGTTGAGGTCTTCTGGAACTCAAAGTTGACTGTTTTAAAACGTATTTACAATGATAGTGTCCTGTTCAGCCCATGTTGCAATAACAGATTCCAGAACAAAAACAAATTATTTGTTTTTCCAACAAAATGGTATTTGCACGTGGACAAAATTCAAGTAGTCAGTTCCTCTGTTCTTTCGATACGTTTATGGGGTTGCTGAATCAGAACCTCAAGGTTTGCAAACAAAATTTGCTGAAGCGTTCCTAGATATTAGCATAAAACAGCGAAATTTTCGAACTTTTTACAATTTTTTGCCCGTTACTCGAAAATGATACATTTCATCGAAAATATCCCTCTTTAGATAGTTGAAATTGGTAAAAAAAATTATATATACAGGGTGTCCGCTAAGAGGAGGTCAATCCATTTACCATATTATATTGCTCGATATGACCTCCAATTTTTTGAATACACATAGAAAAAAATCTTATCGAGCAATTCATTTGGACGTGTTGAACTTCTATAATTTTTTTTTTGTAAAAATTATTTTAATACATTCGCTCTGAGCACCCGGTATTTCCATATCTACCTTTTCGTACGTAAAAAGTTACGTCCTCTTTCAATTTCGACGAAATAAATAGGAGTATGTGAACATTATGAGATTACCGTAAGCCGCATAGGCATTAAACAATAACCAGTACTTTCAAATTATCTTAAAAACAAATAATTTTATCGAAATTTTACAAAAGACAAAAAATACTCAAAAATGATTGAACACTCGAAGAAAAATAGAAAGGAAGTCATTGGCGCACGTACAAAAAAAATATGGGGATGTTTACTTGACCCCCAGTATTCTGAATATTTGACAGTTATTTTCTGTTTTGTTTTCCTCTTTTTGTTCAAGGAATGTATGGTTAATGGATTGACCTCCTTTTAGCGGACACCCTGTTATATAAATATTATTTCACTTGTTCATGGATGTAGGACTAACGGGTGAGGAGCGAGAGCAAGTTAAAAATTCATAAAATTTTGCGTACTTTGATAAAACTATAATTTCCTACCACTTGTACTAACTCGAAGTTGATATAAAATGATTTTACATTCTAATGAAGTATTTTTATGAAACTACAATAGGAAGAAATTTGGAATTTGTGAGCTAGGAAATATTATTGGTACCGAAACTACGACCCAAACTAAATTCATCAATGAACCCATATGAAAATCAAATAAGTGATTATTTAGTTTCCAAACACAATCGGGTGTGAAATTTTCTTACCGAACACCACACGATCAGGGATATTTAGTATAAAAAACTGATTTTAAATGGTAATTTCACGGTACAAGTAATATGATGAAACCGTTTCTACCATTACCAATAGTTTGGACTACAAATTTAAATGAATTTTAAATCGTTCGACTGCCCTTCTGTACCATCCTGTACTTAGATGGAGTAAAATCCTCGCGGTGAATTGCATATACCCACTTTTTCGATAATTCCTCGTCGAACGGGAAACTAAAAGCATGAACTTTTGGACCACCCACATAATTCCCCGACAAAAGGGAACACAACACTTGAAAGGCATTGCTATTTCCGCTTCAAAAACTTACGTGAATCACCGATGAATTAACACGAACTGACGCGTTAGTCTAAGTCGACAAGCGATAAGGCACTGGCCTCTCTTAGGTGACGTCACGAGCTGTTTACGCAGAGTCTGCTGGCCTTCTAATCTCGATGGTAACGGGGTGATGCCTCGCTCCCAAACTCACTCACTTCTCTGGAATGCCGTAGAAAAGTTGGCGATCTGGCTCTATTTTATAGATATTTTCATGGACGATGATCTTCTGAAATATCAACGATTGTGCCTCCCTTGGCAGTCCCCGCGAGATTAACCCGTTGAGTTGAGGCTTCGCACCCCTTCGTGGTCACTTTGGAGACCTGCAGAACATCTCTTTCCAAAGACTCATTCATCCAACGAACAGCGAGGCTCTGGAACACAGTGCCAAGGGAGGTGTTCCCCGAGGCATATAAACTCCAGAAATTTGAGAAGAACACCAATTCTTACCTGATTTCCCTTTGTTCTCACGATGTTCTCTGAACATTTCAGGATATCCCTTTTCGTGGGAACGTAAAAAAAAATTAATCGAACTGCACCTGTGCCAATCACTATCCTGAGCCAAATGGTTGAAAAATGGCACTTTTCCGTGCGGTAAATTGCACTTAATTTCGCGATTTGATAACGAGATGAGAATTATGCTATCCGATACCAATTGGATGGTAGATCTCAAAAACCTACCTGTGCCACCCTTTAATCTGAGCCAAATCCACGGCACAGCGATTTATTTGCTGCCGTTATTCCGGACATACTTCTGTCATGTGATAACGAGTTGAAACAAAGAGCAAATGAAAGGGAATAATGTCCCCTTTGCGAATATCCAAACGTGCCACGATTCAAACTGATCTAAGTTAGTGGCAGAGCGTCATTAATTCCGAGAGAAAATGTCAAATTAAAATCTTATCCTATAAAGAATTTTACGTAGAATCCAGTGGCGTACTCTTTTTTTGTATGGTTTTGGAGATACGACTCAAACATAATTTTTTTTCAATGGAACACCCTGTATTTTATTATCTCATTAAATTCCTTTTATATTCAAAATCCATAGCCCACTTTAAATTCGATGTTTTAGCATTTTTGAAAATTTTATATTTTCACAATATCTATCATTTTGAAGGAAAAAAATAAGATTATAAATATAGGGTATTCCTTTTAAAATATTATAAAAAAAAATGAGTACGGCACTGGATTCTGCGTAAGATTCTCTATGGGATGAGATTTTAATTTGACATTTATCTGAGAAATTTCGTAGATATTGAGGGGGTTCAACAAGTATAAATTTTCAAAATCGCCCTAACGGAAACAGTTATGCAAAATCAGATTAGGCCATCTTGAGTTTCAGAAAAAAGTGGCACAGCACCGCGAAAAACCATTTTTGCACCACAGTGAAAGAACATATTCTGTTGCCTATTGGCGGAATAATCTCATTTTTCAAAATATTACACTTATCCCCTTGCATCAGAGTCTTCAATTTTCATATCATAACTTCAACACTGTATCTCAAGAACTGAACACTTGAAGACCATATGTCGCTACCTTACTAATTATGAAATCATGAGGGCGACCACCTGCGAAGCGTTGTCGGTCGAATTTCGAAACACCCTGTTTATATAAAATTGTATCTACGGGGCAAAAAACTGAAAAAGGTGCGAAAAATTTCGCTGTTTTTTATGAATATCTCGGAACGGTCCAGGCAATTTTGTTTTCAAACTTCAGGTTTGGAATTGACACCTCCAAAAATATTTGAAACCGCAGAGAAACCGACTATACCTACTTGAATTTTTCCCAGGAGAGGATTTTCACCGTGACCGTTTTTTCTGAGCTATGG